AGGGGGGGACAAAGGCCAAAAGGGGAACGAGCCGCGTTCGCGTCCGAGTGGATGCTGGATGAAAAAGTCACGATAGTGCAAATTAAACGACTCGACAGACGACGGAGAAAGGCCCCTGTCAGCCCACGACGCGGTCCGCCAACCGCTCTGCAGACGAGAAGACGTTTGGACAGGGAACGGCAATTTGAGACGGGAGGCATCTTCGGTTTATGGCTCGACGGTTTGTGTGCAGCAAAGCTGTTGGTGATGACGTGTGGCAATAAAAGACCAGCAAAAGGTGCCCGACAATGTTGCATCCTTCCCACGGCTGACTCTTGGCACATGAACATTGCAATCCCGCTTGCATTGGGGACAATCTGGACCGGGTAGCTACATGTGCCAAAGGAACAGCCAGGACCAGTCTCCCAGTGTATCACAAAGATTGGTGCAGAGGACAAACTTCAGATGAAGGATTCGAAGGATTTCCCCGAGTGCCATTTCACGGCGGCAGAACGTCCCAGCTCCCCCTGTCAGGTAGTCTCTTTTCTCGTCGTTTTTCCTTCCCTTTCCGATGATCCCAATGCGCAGAAACGCTTGGCGCTCTGGAAATTGCAAATTCATCTTTGTTTGGTTGTATTTTTGGATCGAGGCAAGGAAACGGTTGGCGGTCTGGACTTTTGTGGACAGCGCCTTTCCACCCTGGGTGGAGCTGATATTGTAATTTCGGTTTCTCGTTCTACGAAACGGGGTTGCAAATACATGCAAATACATTGTAAGATACTTCGTACTGTCTACGTGAACATGCTGACAGGTCGGCTGTGCTTGCTGCGTATCTTTCAGCTGCACTTGCGATGCACTTCCACGACGTGCGCGCAGTGGGAATACGTTGCTATGGCCCACAATGCCAGCGCATCGAAAGCATACATTGTAAATCGTCGCTTTCCCATCTCTATCAAGCATGAACATATGGCTCCATAGCGACTCCATCATCCCATTCTTGTCCGTCGTTTCGACCCGACGATGGAGCCACTGGGCGACTCCAGCCGAAAAAAGAGGAAAGAAAGCACACGCGCAGAGCGAATATCGCGCGTTCAATAGTTTGAGCCATTGTGGAGGACGTGGAAATGAGGTGTATGCCCAAACAGGCAAAACTCCAGTTGGCGACACGCGAGGCGGCGGCCGACGCGACGAGACCAAAAAGAAGCTTAGCAGCAGATGATCCACAGTCTGTCGATACCGCCACTTGAAGACTACATAGGGTTGAACGCGTACTGAAGATTCTTTTTCCGTAGTATGCTGCAGAGCATCCCCTGTCGCTGCTGACGAGGTGGAAATCCAGGAGCTATGACATTCGGGGGGCTCCGTGTGGCAAGGAAGCTATGAAGTTCGAAGTAGAAGGCAGCTGTAGCTTCCAAAATCTTCAAATAAGATGGCCAGGCGAGATTGGTTCCCAGGGTACAGAGTAGCTGTATGCAAGCAAAGCGTTCGACGATGCGACATTGAGCGGCTTTGGAGGACGGTGCGCTGTTTGAGGCCCATGCAGCCCCGTAATATGCAGCATGGAGTCCTTGTGGACAGAACACACGCGAGAGAGACAGGGGAAGCTCCTTTCCCTAAGCTTGGGTTGGGGGATAAGATACGTATGGAAGTTTCGACCTTGAGAAGGTGTCATGGGCTACTGGTTATTGCGATATAAAAATCATGCATTTGGGGGTGAATTTTCTTTATTCGTGAGTTTTTATGTTGCATTAGATAATTAATCCAAAGAAAACACGAGAACGATTAAAACTAGAAATATACGGGGGCATATTCCCAAACGAGTGATCCGATAAAAGCATCAGAAAATAACAAAGATCGGTTGTAAACATGAACATAAAAATAAAAACATAATCAAACAACGTTTTTAGCATTGAGAAACGAGACATGGAAATGCCAAGAGCAGCTTTTGTCTTGGACGTGAAAACGAGGAATGCAAAAGACGGCCGCAAAACAGTAGCAAAACAAAGCATAGTCGAAAGGGACAAACATCGCCCAGCCCGTTAGCCAAGCCTGTCTGGCGATAGTCAATCTGGGCAGACACGATCGGCCGGGCCAGGAGACGGGAGACGGGAATACGATAAGTGCGATAAAAGTATAATAATAAAAGTAAAAATAAAAATAAAAATAAAAATAAAAATAAAAATAAAAATAAAAATAAAAATAAAAAAAGGCAAACAAAGGCAAACCAAGCAAGCAAAGAATGTCGTACCAGGTAAGGGTTGATTAGGTCTCGACAACCGTTCGCGGTGCCAGGCCGTTGCCGTTCCATGTTGGATGAGGCTCTGGAGCATCAGAGTATCTCGAGCGCATACGAGAATCACAAGCAAATCGCACAAAATCACCTTACCAAAGACACTGCTCGTACTCAGTATTACTCATTACTCCCGTAAAAATAATACGATCGAGATGCACTCCGACTCAGCTAGCCAGCCCAATCTGGCCATACTTGCGACCACCGGGCGTCTCCACCGGCTTCTGGATCACCATCGATCTCGCCAGACTTTCTTGTTGCAAACAAGGAAATATGGCCAAGCAGGGGAAACAAGACAAGAACAGCTCGCCTCGCCTCGGCCGGTCCAGCTTCCATGGGATTGGATCAGCAAAAGAAAAGTCCACCGCAACTCTCACTCCATGCTCCGTATTCCGAAAACGTCCAGACTTATCCTAATCCTTGTCACAAAAAGGAAGAAGAAAAAGAAGAAGAAAAAGAAAAGGCCCGGCAGGGGAATGTCAGAGCCGACATCCCGCACAACAAAAGTCATCATTCCAGTCATACGGAGAAGCTGTGACAGAACGTCGTCGCAAAGCACGACATAATGGTGCACAAAAAAGGACCTCCCACGGCAACCAGCGAAGCATTCCTGCGTATCTGGAAAAATCCCGTCTATTTTGTCTTCAGTAAGAGCAGAGTAAAAAGTACCGCGCCACGGCAGTAGGCAACCGGTGCTGATGTGATGATCGTTCCTCTGTTGCCATAGATCCCATGCTCCTTTCAAAGAGTCTGTCGATTCAGCGAGAAATGGATGCGCCCAGCTATCTCTCTATCTTACTCGGAGAGAGTGAGAATCGTCAGAGAGGAAGGCGTTATTTGGGTCGTCCACATAGTACGAAGTACGAGGTCCTTCACAGTGCTGTTGTCGTCCACCAATAGACGCTTCTCCTTCGTACACAGTATGAGTTCAATAAAAGGAACCCCAAAAAGGAGCCAAAAAAGGGAACCCACCCGTGCCACCCACATTTGGCTCTCGAACCAGCGATGGCGTCCGCAGCTCATTTCCGCGCCCCGCTTAAAAAGGAAACGATTTTTTATTTTTTGCTCTTCTTTTCTTTTCCTGCTGCCACACCCCGGCTCGTCGCGTGTGAGCCTGACAGCTTAAAAAAAACTGTGCGTGGGCCACACCTTTTCGCCCTTTCGGTAAGGCACCTTCGTACCTTGCAGTGGACGGGACAGGCAAGCCACCACAACCTCTTGGAAATCTCAATCATCTCACGAAACCGCCAATTGCCAGGTGCCATTCTGGTCACACCAAACTGGGCTGAGTTGCTCCGTCCTGAGGGACAGCAGCCTCGTCAGGGCTTTCATGAGCATGATTCGTCTTCCGCTCCTGGAGAAAAAAAAGGGGATGAATAGGGGAGCATAGGGGAGCCGGGGAGGTCGCATTCGCCGTGCTGGGTATTCGTGTGGTGCGGTACGCGAGTCAGACTGGGAGTACCTGTGCGTTATATGGTACAGAAGGTTAAATACAAGTACCCCAATACACACATACTGTATCTTTGGGCCGTGAGAGCCACAGCTCATTTCCTGGCGAGCCTATTTTTCTCTTTTTCCTCCGTTGGCCGCCTCCCCCTGAGTGCCAAAAAAAGAAACAAAAACCGGGTAGTTGGGGGCAAAACGCGTTGGAAGAAGGTCATTCTGAGGGACTCCAAAGGGACTAGTGTCACTAAATAGTGGGAAAAGAAGAGGAAAGAAAGGAAAGAGGAGACAATCTTTGCTCGACTCTAGAGTATGCCCACCGCCTATCGACCGTACCGCCGGCTCTCCTTGTCATTTCTGATTACTACTACAGAATACCGTGCGAGAGCGAGGCGGCCAATTGGCCCACCCCTGTTCCTGACGCCGTCGTTCTGTTGGTTGTCGGTCATTGCGGTCCCTCCCTCTCTCTCTCCTCTCCACCTCGCTCTTGGTTTATTCTCTAGTGGTCACTTCAGCTTGGGCCGTCCATACACTTGAAAGTAAGGTACCTGACCGAGTGAGCGAGTCTCGTATCGCCGCAAAGACGTTATCTCGTAAGATAGAATCGACGGTCGGCCAGGCCTATCTTGCGGCGCCATTTCGCTCATTCCCTGTCCCAGGAAGCTTGGCTCTTCTTTCGTCTTTTCTTATCTCTGACACCATGACTCCGTCGTAGATTCCTGGGCAGCTGTAAACAACGCTCCCACTGCCTTGATTTTGGCACCTGCAGGCCCCAGTTTAGGTCCCAGGTGTGCGTGCATTGCATACGTAGTTGACTTCTGGTCTCCTGTTTGAAACAGATCGTGACGAACGCCACCAAAGAAAAAAACAATCAAGAAAAAAGCAAACACAATAATGTGACCCTCTGTGGCTGTCTCTGGCCATTCTGTGACGTATTGCAAATGCGTTTACAACAATCGGGTAACGGAGAAGCCCAAATCACGATTGCCTCGACAAATGTACGGTGTCGTAGGTCGTATGTGCAAACATGTTCCGTTCAGTGACTCCAACAACAAAATACAAAAGCACCGACGCAGGCGCGATCGCGGGATCTGCTCGCCCTACCCGGCTTCGCATCTTGGTCTTTGTCATATGCAATCTGCCATCTGCGTTCTGCATTCCAGTGGTCGAGCAATACACAGCAACCCGTACAAACTGCGGCTCCTCTGACTCGCTTCAGGCTCCGACTATGGTATGTAAGCCGCTGTTGCAGGGCAACCCAGGCTGTTGTGGATGCCATTCAGGGCCCAAAACACACCAAAGCAAAATAAGATACGATGGAGGAAGAAGACGCTCGCCGAAATTCGACATGTAGCTCGAATCCCCCCCCCCCCCCCAATAATGCGAACAAAATTACGGTCACGGCCAGGTGGTAATTACAGCGCTCGTATTCATCCTGGGAGGGCTTTTCTCGCTCATTTCGGGGAAATACTGCAGCAGGAGTATGGAGTCGTGGGCAGTGGAGGCGTGGGTGGTTGCACAGTCAACCGTGACCATGAACTCGCTGTTCACCTCGTCACTTCGTATTTTGGACCTCAGAAATATTACAGTACTACCCCCGTAACAAAGCATTGGGTGGCAAACCCCCATGAAAGCCCAGGCAACTCGGCGTAGCGAAAGGCAATCACAGGTGAAAATTAATCCAGATCCGAAAGAAGCAAGTCCGGTGGCATGAAGATGGACTGACAGGCCTGCCAGACAGTGTGAAATAGGATCAAAATACGATAGAGAAGGAAGAAGGGCATGGAGGGAAAATGAAAACAAACCCGAGATATCCTCTCTCTCTCACCACTCCACCACCGTCACAACCACTCCACCTCCTTTACTCCTTTTCCCTGGTACCCACACAATCCATATCCACACACCCCTGTCCCCTCCTTCTGCTCTCTCTCTCTCCCCCCCGATCCACACCAGGCGAAGGCGATGAAGGTCACTCCACGACTCAGTAAGAGGCAGAGAGACGTCGACGGTAGCATCCACCAGCCCCTAGTCCGCTCCCGGAAAGTCCTGTTATGATAGACTGGGAAAGGAAATTATGGACCGCTGCACGGATCTGGGCTAGTTAGCGCCGGTCAATCTCTTTTTTTTTTTTTTTTCCCTGGCGTTGTTTGGTCAGGCCCAGGTTCCCTGATCCTCTCTGATGCTCTGTCGTTCCCCGTTCCTCGCTCGTTGTTGTCCTCCACCTGGTGTGCAGCTGCATGCCCAACACCCCGTTTCCATCCCATCTGGCATCTGCAAGGGCCCTGTTTTGATTTTCAGGCGCTGGTGGCTGGCCTCTGAGCACAAATGGCCACCCCCCCCCCCTATTCGGCCTTTTTCTCACTCCCCCCTTCCCCTGTCACAAAGACAAACATGCACCAACACCAACAAAACGGCCCCCCAAACCACCCTGAAAGACCCCCGAAATAAGTGGCCATGGTCCAACGCGGTCGCCCATTTCTGTATATAAGACCGCCCTCTCACTCCCTTTCTTGGTCCATTCCCCTTTCTCTTTTCTTTCTTCTTCTCTTCTCTTTTCCTCCTCACCCACACTCGCTCACATACAAAACTACCCTGACTCTACAGTCAATTTCACTCGTTACAACAACCTCAACACTCCTCAACCTCTACCACTTAATTCTCTAAACCGTCTTCCGACAACCACCCCAACCGACAAAATGAAGTTCTCCGTTGCCTCCCTCCTGGCCCTGGCCACCGCCGTCTCTGCTGGCTCCAACGTGACCTACACCACCGAGGTCGTCACTGCCCTGACCACCTACTGCCCTGAGGCCACCACCCTGACCCACAACGGCAAGACCTACACCATCACCTCGGCCACGACCCTGACCATCACGGACTGCCCCTGCACCGTCACCAAGCCGGTCACCACCGCCACCACGGTCTCGTGCACGACTCCGTAAGTACAGCCAAATTGGTTATTCACAATAGGTAGAAACTTGAAACTAACCGCTCTCCAGCTACAACAACGCCACCGTCACGCACACCAAGGGCACTGCTTCCTACACCCCCACCCAGTCGGCTGTCGTCACTGCCGGTGCCGGCAAGGTCATGCTGTCCGGTGCTGCCGGTGTCATCGCCGTCGGCGCTGCCATCCTGCTGTAAATGTAGCCAAAGAAGACAACCAACCCCCTCCTACATATACCTCTTACCGGAAAAAAACCCCTACGCCAAACTTTTTTTTATGTGCTGGGAATAATGGATTTTGTGAAGATTTGAAGATGTTCCAAGGACAACACCGTCAATCTTTGAGGAGCAAATTTTTTGAGAAAGGATGACTTGTTTACCGCGCAAAGGGTCTCTCTTTTAGCCAGCGAAGTTTTTTCTATTAATATGATTTCCGCTTTTATGTGAGAATTACTTTCTCTGTTCTGTCTGGGAGACCCTGTTCTTTCGTTGTTCTTTCCTCTTTGTTTTGGACAAAACTTTTATTTCTAAACATCTTCGCTTCTCTCACTTTTTCCATCAAGTTTTCATATTTCCCATCACAAAAAAAAACCAGGCTTTTGAACAGTTTTTTAATGACCCTTGGGAAAGCGATTTCTTTTTTTTTCTTGTTTCCGACTACCATTTCTTATTTTCTGCTCGATGTTCTGCTAGGGACTCTTGTATTGCCTTCGTTCTTTTTAATGGTTGATAGACATCCATATTTTTATTGAAATATTCCTTACCAGATTCTATTGTTGACATTGTTTGCTGTCGCTTGGTGATCATTCTGCGGAGCATTGTTTCAATCGTGTGCGGTCTTGAAAATCATAAACAAGTCATCTTTACAAAAGACAGTAGTTCATGGGATGATCATAAACACAGACGAGGCAGTCGTATTTTCTCCGCCGTTCTGACAAATCCTTTCTCTATCCCAACAACCTCAACACAACTTGTGTAGACTACGCGGTAGTTGAAGTCACTATAAACAACCCCATGCGGCCCATCATCTCTGGCGATCCAGATCGTCCCGTCGCGTATCACAACATTTGGCATCCGTCATCTGCCAAATGCGCGTCCGTCACTGCCGACGAGAAACCAGCTGGAAACCGGTTGGACTAAACGCAATGTGCAATTAACCTTCTTTTCGCTTTTTGTGTTCCTTATCGTTTCCGTCCTAGAGAACACCCGTTGTTACGTTCCCTTGATGCCCTGTTGTGAAACCGCTCGTAGGCAGCAAGCTCCCTCTGCTGTCCTCACCCCAATCTTGGCCTTTGGCGATGCTTTCGTTGCCAGGCTTTGAAACTGGAATCCTCTTCTATTCTACCCTCTGCCTCTGAAGTCTGCATCTCGCCCGGCCCTGCGGAAGAGATAGACGGCCCGTTTTGTGGGACGGGACAGCCTTCTTGGGTCCCGGAAGCGACGGATAGCTGCTTGCTATTACTCTGTATTGCCTTCTCCAGGTTCCCGGGTAATACAGTCCACGGGGAAGAGGAGAGTCATGAAAGAAAGCAACTGAAGGGGAAAAGAAAGGCAGACCCTCCTGCCAGCCAACAGATCCAATATACGGAGTACTCGTAGCCAGCCTCTCTCGTTTGACAAACAAAATATGTGATGGCTGCGCACCCAATTTCCACCGTCAGAATACAGCAAGCAGCACGACAAGTTATCTTCCGCTTTTCCCTTCACATGCGCCCGCTGGCGCTTACCCGACTCCAGAGAAGAGACGCGACAGGGAACATTTTGGTGTGGGAAATTGCGCACCCTCCATCAGAAAAATGCACTCCGCCGACAAGAACACCCCCCCCCCCCCCCCCAGGCCAGTTCAGTCCAGCCAGCACGCTCGCAAGGTCTTCTATCTTGACCCTTGCCTCACGCAACAGCGCCAGAGCGCCTTCTTCGTTTGGGTGCTCTTGAGAGCGTGTCGAACATCGTATTCTACACTGCGATACGAGGTTGATGGATTCTGTCGTAACGGCCTACGAAGTACGAAATACTACTATCTATCTCAACCCATGTTCGCACTTTGCCGTCCGTTCCCCGGTCCCTGGTCTGCCCTTCGAGGAAACCCGATGCGTCGTAAACCAGGTCGATTCGCACTGCCCAGCCCCAGAAGGGCCCGACCGCCGCAAGCTTTTTCGTTTCTCGCGCTTCCATTTTTTTCTTGTTCATTTTGATTTTGCGCAGAATCTAAAACATGTCTCACTTGCCATCAATGTCGCGCGTCCAGACCACTCCACAATTGATAGGCTCGTATTTCTTTCGTCTGTCGTTCTGTACTTTGTACCCTCTGCGATGTACCCTTCGGAGCCTCTCTCCGTGCTCCTAGTCCACCTTTCTCGTCTGTTTCCATCGTCGCAAAAAGGACCACGTAAACTGTAAACAAAGCAGCTCGGCCGCAACCCAGCCGTTTCCAATTTGCACCGAAAACTGGCACCAGCAGAGACAGCGCCCGCCGCCGTCGCGCAGTCGCGCCCTTTTCTGCGGCGCGCAACGAGTCCACTAGACACAAAACGGGTACATGTACACGGACAGGAGGCGAATCCGCCCGTTTCCAGGCACCGCCGCCATATTTTATGCAAGAAATGCACCAAATTGTGCACGTTGCTAGAGTGCAGCAGGGGGACTAATGCAGGAACAGCCAGGGCAGTCGACTACAGAGAGAGAGTCGTTTGCTACGTCGTACAGCTGTTTCCGGTCCAAAGGCGCTAAGCAAAAAGCAAGTTCTGTCGCCGCCAAGCAAAGGTTGCCTAGCGAGCCTAGTTTTTCACCGGCTCTGTTTTCCATCCTATTTTTGAACCATAGTGAACGTTTCTTCCACCTAAGATACGAACATGTATACTGTGTGTACGGCTGTATGTGCACTGTTTAGGCACAACGCACTGCCTCGGAAGAACCAGCCACAGTTGGACAAGCGTGGCCGTGTCTTGGTTTTGCGTACATACTTCGTACTGGCCTCTCGAGCCTCTCTGCCTCTCTGCCTCTCTGCATCTGCCTCTTCCCTGCATTGCACCGTCGCACCGTCCCTCCGTGACCTGTCCTGCATGGCACACCCCTCCTCCCTCTGAGCAAATACGAGCTTCGCTACCAAGAGGAACCCGAAAGGAAGTGTGGCGCCAGCCCGAGCTGCCTCATCTGGTGCCACCTTTTTGGCCCAATGTGTGTTCTCAAGATGCTCTCATGCTGTTTTGCGACGGACTGAGCGTTTTGGACCCAACCATTGCTGCGCTGCGCTGTCCATGGCCAAACCAAAGGAATCAAAAGGTTTTGGCGTATGCCAAGGGGTTCGAGTCAGCAAGCAAGCTCTGAAGAGCTGGGACGTGAGGAGGTGATGAGAAGACGAAAAAGAGCGTCCCCGGGAGACGGGCCGACGGCGGCGTGGACAAGGGAACGAGCTGTCCTGCAGCATGCCAGATGAGGTGAAGCCGCAAACAGAAATCAAGAAATCTGCCAAGAAGATGCGAGAGGTGTGCTGCATGAAAAAAAAGTACTGACGTAGGTGAAGCCTTACTTGGCGGAAAGCTTGCACTTCGGGCAGAGTCGGTGTGGGACCTTTCCTACCGCGGTCCATGGGACGATTCAGCAAGGCGAATTGGTCGACGTCATTGCAGCTGAAGCCGGAAGAGTGAGTATCGTCATCTTTCAGGATCAAGGACTTTTTGTCGTTTGCTTTGACCCTCCCAGCCTTCTTACCTTAGGACCCCTTCTGTCGACTCTTTGTCCTCTTCAGCTGCCCTTCTGATTGCCCTGATTGCGACCGGCCCTGAATCTGACGCGCTGAGTGAGACATTGGTGCCTGTCTGTTCCAGATCGCATGCCAGTGAGATACGTCTGAGAGAGGGCGTTGAACAAAACTAGCGCCTGTCTGGGAACGGAGAAAACAGTCCACAGAACCCTGAGCCTAGAGGGGGTGTGTGGTGTGAAACAACAGAACTTGTGTGCTCTCGTTCGGGGTTGATTGGTAACCATCTTGCTGTTATCGCCCACTGCGTGTCTGGGCATCTGTCCTGCCAAACCATCCAAGACCCTGCTTGTGTCTTCTGCGTCCAATTTCAACATTCCAGAGAGTCTCTGTTGTTTGTTGACTTTTTCCATTTCTGCTGGCATCCAAACAGCCCTGCAGGCTCCCTATGAGTAATGCACTGCACTGGTGTGCATCTTCCAGAGGATCGATGCTTGAGTAGCGCATGCGCGATGCACACGGGAGGTATGCAGATCGACTCGGGGCATGCATCCAAGATGGTGAATTTAATCGCCTGCGCAGGCAGAAGATACAATAACGATTCGCCTCGTTTACCTGCATGTCCTGGACTCAGAATATGCAGCCTGGTACGACGGACCGCTTCAGGCTCGGCTCACCCAGATATCGGAGGTGTGATCCTCGGCGACGGGTATGTATCAGGCGGTACGTCCGAGTCCTGTACTTGGCATGTGGCGAGCAGTGTGTCTCCTGTAGTAGTCGCCGGAGTTGATCACATTGTCCCCGGCCATCGTCAGTTCGGCTCCGCTCCTCGGTCTCGCGATGCGGTCGCGCCCGTCGCGCCCGTCCGGACACACTGTCCACGACGCCTTCTGGTGTCTTGCCTTAGGAGTGACCAACGTTTCTGATACCTGTTCAGGCCCGTGCTCGCGTACATCAACATTTTCTCCCATGATATATTGCACGTGTCTTCTGGTTCATGATGCGATGTCAGCAAGCGATAGCGGTTCGTTGGGTCATGTCCTGTGCAGCATTGCTGTACTGTTGGTAGCTGTACGTGATGATACAGACGGTGTTTTTTGATCCATGTATCTGTATCCGCTGTATTCGTCGTGGTTTATGGTGTATGATGGTAGGATTGGGTTCATACTGTGGTTTATTTTTATATTATGGTTTTGAAATTTGACGAGTGGTATTTTTTTTTTAAAAAAAAATCCCTACGACAAAAAACAACAAATCCACAACAAACTCACCGCGAAAAGTATCTCCAACGGAAAATAAAAGCGAAAAGGAACAACACGTAATAACTGCCGATATTCCATGGACAAAGTCTGTTCGTCGTTGGTGAATGGCAAAGCAGACTAGGTCGGCTAAGCTAACAAACGTAACCGAACAAGTATCACATATGCGCGAGGATGATGCATTGGCGCTTTACAAGTACAGCCCGCCAACTACGACTTAAGAGAGCCAACAACCGCAGCCAACGTTTGCATAACCGACGACGTAATCTGTATGGCTGAGACGGGGATTTCGAGGTATTGGCCAAACATGTTGAGCCAGTCATAATGTGCAGCCTCCACGGTGTAAAGGACAGGCATCGGCCTTTGAACAGCGGACGCCGTGTCCGTGGATGCCATCGCTTCTCCAACTTATACTTAGTCGTCCCTGATCGGCCCAAGTCGTTCAACAAAGCCCGATAAATAACAACCATCCGAGCACAAAAGACCGGAAAACCCGAAAGGAACGGACAAGCAGCCCGCACCCGTGCTCGGCACTCCGATGTCCTTTCCTTCGGCCTTGAAGCATGGGTTAGAACAGCTCTCCTCTGGAAGTCTCGGATGGAAGATCGAAGCTTGTTGCAGAGCGCTCCAGGCCCGGCTTTGACATATCTGGGTTGGACCATGATTGACAACCGAACTAATACGGAGCATCAAAATACGGCCACATAGAAACAGGCGACGGCCGACTGAAGACGACGCCCGGCCATGTTGCCTGTTGCCTATTCCTCGCGGGTGGTGGTAGTCGCAATGGTGCGCAACAGCTCTTATGGTCGGCTGTGTGAACATTGCAACGAAAGTGGCCGGGCTGGTTTGCCGGTTAGGTTCGCGCATTTGAGGACTCTGGTTGGAGGCTGGCCCGGGGGAACGGGGAAATAAAGTGGACCCACCTGTGCCTGGGCGGGGGACTTGTGGAGGACCTGGGGCAAGTGACCCCAACGCTCTTTCCCGCTCAGCCGGCAGTGAAACGGCTCGACATCTGAACCGAAAAAGGTCCGTCGACGGCGATACAAAGAGGAGTCGATGGACGGAGGTGGATGCCATGTGAGAGTCGAGTGAGCAGATTGTGTCCATCTTCATCGTCTTCTTTATCGACACCAAGCTGTCCATTTTCGGTTACTGCACTCCACAGGACAACGAAGTCCGAGGCCTATTTTGGCAATTAAACTTGCTATTTATTTTAATCCTACCCCAACCTGCTCATCGTCTTACACAGTATACGGAAGGCGGTGGACGAGACGGCAGCTGCGACGGAGAACCCCTATTTGGCCTCCTTCCGTCATCCTCCTTCGCACTGCAACACTGGCGTCACGGCGGCTTTCGTTCCCCTTTCTTCGGGCGCGTTTCGGAACACATCTCCGACGACAGCCCCCGACTCCAACACGCGCCATGGCCGACCACCTGCAGGACCAGGTCCAGCGCCACTCGCTGTCGGACCCCGAGTCCTTCTGGACGCACCAGGCCGACCAGCTTTACTGGCACCGTAAGCCCGACGTGGCCCTGAAGCACACGACCAAGACGCTCAAGGGACTGGCCGAAGAGGCGGGCAAGAGCCGCGACGTGACGCACGACCACTGGGAGTGGTTCCCGGGCGGCCAGATCTCGACATGCTACAACTGCGTCGACCGCCACGTGCTCGAGGGCCGTGGCGAGGAGCCGGCCATCCTGTATGACAGCCCCGTCACCAACACCAAGCAGCGCATCACCTACAGCGAGTTGCTGGCCGAAGTCGAGACCATGGCGGCCGTGCTGCGCGAGCACGGCGTCAAGAAGGGCGACGTTGTCCTGGTGTACATGCCCATGGTCCCGGCAGCGCTCATTGGCATCCTGGCCGTCAACCGCCTGGGCGCCATCCACACCGTCGTCTTTGGCGGCTTTGCGGCCGCGCCTCTGGCCCAGCGCATCGAGGACTCGCGCCCCGTCGCCGTGCTGACTGCCTCGTGCGGCATCGACGGCAACAAACCCCCCATTGCCTACCGGCCCTTTGTCGAGGCCGCCGTCGCCCTGTCGGCCTGGAAGCCGCCGCACGTCATCGTATGGCAGCGCGATGCCCTGCGGTGGGACTGGACCAAGAACACACCGACTACGGACAAGATTGCCAGCACAACCAAGGCGCACTGCTGGCGCACGCTGGCCAACGACGCCAGCGCACGCAGCGCCAAGGCCGCGTGTGTGCCCGTCGCCTCCACGGACGGCGTGTACATTATCTACACGAGCGGCACCACGGGCAAGCCCAAGGGCGTGTTCCGGGAGGCGGGCGGCCACGCCGTCGGTCTGCACCTGATGATTTCGTACTTGTTCAACATCCACGGCCCGGGCGACGTCATGGGCTGCTTCTCGGACATTGGCTGGGTCGTCTCGCACAGCTACACGCTCTATGGCCCGCTGCTGACGGGCGCCGCCACCGTTTTGTACGAAGGCAAGCCCGTCGGTACGCCCGACGCCTCGGCCTTTTGGCGCATCGTCGAGGAGTACGGCGTGTCCACCATGTTCACCGCCCCCACGGCGCTGCGCGCCATTCGCAAGGACGACCCGGACAACACGCACCTGACGGCCGTCGGCAAGCGCGGCGGCCTGCGCACGCTGCGCGCCCTGTTCCTGGCCGGCGAGCGGTCGGAGCCCGCCATTGTCACCATGTACCAGCAGCTGCTCGCGGCATACGGCGCCCCGGGCGCCAACGTCGTCGACAACTGGTGGTCCTCCGAGTCTGGCTCGCCCATCTCGGGCATTGCCCTGGGCGCCCACGCGGGACAAGACCGCCGCGCCGCCCCCGACGCCCACAGGGCCTCCAAGCACGCACCCGCCGCGCCGCTGCCCATCAAGCCCGGCAGCGCCGGCAAGGCCATGCCCGGCTTCGACGTTCGCGTTGTCGACGATGGCGGTCAAGAGCTGCCCGCCGGCACCATGGGCAACATTGTTTTGCGCATGCCGCTGGCGCCCACGGCGCTGCGCACGCTCTGGGCGGACGAAGCGCGCTTCTACAAGGGGTACCTGCGGCGCTTCGACGGCCGCTGGCTCGACACGGGCGACGCGGGTGTCCTTGATGCCGACGGCTACATTCACATCATGGCCCGCTCGGACGACATTATCAATGTCGCCGCCCACCGCCTGAGCACCGGCAGTCTCGAGCAGGCCATTACAGGGCACCCAATGGTGACCGAGGCCTGCGTCGTGAGCATCCCCGACGCGTTGAAGGGCCACATGCCGTTTGCCTTTATCAACACCACGCGCGCGGCGGGCCAGTCAAACGACAAGACGGCCGCCTCCGACGCGGCCCTCTTCAACGAAATCAATGACCGTGTGCGCGAGCAGGTCGGTGGCATTGCCTCGCTTGGTGGCCTGATTGAGGGCAACGGCATGATCCCCCGCACCCGCTCCGGCAAAACGCTGCGTCGTGTCCTGCGCGAGTTGCTGGAGAACGCCGTCCACGGCGACTTTGACGCCCCCGTCAATGTGCCCTCCACCGTCGAGGACGCCAGTGTTGTCGACGTTGCTCGCGAGCGCATTCGCACCTACTTCCGCGATCACGCAGGCGGCAAGCACGCCGCCATTGAGTCGCGGGCGAAGCTGTGAACGTCTCGGGTATTCGTTTATATGTCTTGTTGTCTTTTGTCTTTTCGTTTAAGCGATCATGGCGTGAAAAGCTACTATTGTTTTATTGTCTTTTCTATCCGCCACTTGGCAACGTTCGTATTAAAATGTCATATACAGGCTCGCGTGAGCTGTCTTGCTTTTATCCAGATTGTTTTTGAAATGTACATTGTCCTCAATTCCGATTTGACGTACCCGTGCATTCGAGATAAACCTGATAATTTTCACATATATATAGGTTGACGGTGTTTACAGACTTTGAAACAAAAGCCGCCTTTCGGTGCTTAACAGGTAGGCATTGGGTCGGACCGTGTTTTCGGACGCGCCTGTCAGCGACGGGTAACCAGAAACAGTCTCTTCATGTGCTTGAGGTGCGGAAGAGCAGATGATAGAACTCGTAATATGTATGGGGTGGTAGTGCAAAGTTGCACTCGCGCGAGACAATGGCAGATGTCGGCGTCTATCCCTCTATCCAGCTGTTGAAGTCGGAAAACGTCACTTGGGTAGAAGAATGGAGAGATTCAGAGCGGAACGGGAGTGTCCGTTCAACGGCACTCAGCTCTAGTATAAGACTCTGCTTGGTTTCACTGTGTGCTGGCCACTGCACGAGGACGACACATAAATGACGACAGGATAGCACGAATCAAACCTCGTCCCAGTGATGTCGGTGAGCACCTATTTGTATGTGAGGATCAGGTACCAGTCTCGCATGCACTCGTGGAAAGTGAGCTGGCCGCCAGAAGACGCAAGTATAACCAACGCAAGTAATTTTGACGCTACGGCTTGGAAAGTAGGGAGCGGAACGAGGTTACCGTGTCCAACTGGTACAACATACGGACAACGGGGATCGTGAACACCGTGTTGGCGGATGCCGTGTGAGTGAACGGTAGATGTGCTGTGTCGAAACGGGTCAGGATATAAGACCTAGTCGGAGACGGTGAACGGCTGTGTTAGCTGGCCAAGACGCGATTTATGGAAGCAAGCTTCTCGTGCGAATAAGTCTCTTTGTAGACCCTGTCGCGGTTCCGATGCCTGAGGTATCAGCACAAAACCGTCAAGCATATTGTCCTTTCGCGCCTGCACACCATTTACCGGACGATGTTCTCGTCTTCATCCGTGGTATCACAGGGGCACGATAGGCGTCACGAACCATTCCGTTTCGTGATTCATTGTGCCAACTTCGTTTTCCGCAGTGATGGTCGTTCAAGTCTGTATGTGAGTGCTTTGGTAATGGCTCGAGACCAAAGCAAACACTCGATATCAAAGTCAAGAACGTTGAATATTCCTCGGAGGAACGATGGCGACAGCAGAACCGTCTAAAATAGTAGACCCGGAACGAGGTAGAAAGAAGTAATCAGAGCATTGCTCATCGTACTTTCGTAGTCAGGGGTTTGTTTACTGCCAGGCGTTTCTTGTTCTGGCAGCTGCGAGAAGGCTACAAGAGGCAGTCGCGGCCCATCTTGCCACGTGAGTAGGTCTATGTTGACACCTTCTATGGAAAATGCCGTATCGGTAACTCGTGAATTGGTATATTTCGTCATCGTGCTAATCATGGCCGGCGAAGACTTGACTTGCCTCACACCTATGCGGCATTTGATACTCCACGGCATCACATCATGAACATTTTCAGTTGGAAAACAAGCCACGTGATTTTGTATTTACGTGATTCTCTCCCGCCTTGCAGCCTCGTCTGATCATTGTCTCCGTTCCCATCAGTTCAGCCCTCGTCCTGCATACCTTTTCTACTTGACTTGTGTCTAAGGTCTGCGTGCGGCTGGTTCACGTTCCCATCTACTGTGCCATTTCGAGCACTGCCGTGAGCGAAGCTTTGCACAGCCTTCTGAAGCCTCAGCTTGGCGTCGACAACCGGCAGCGAAAGAGCAAGGCGGGTTTAGTGGGGTCGCACTCCTTTTTCGATCTTTTTTCCCTTCAAAGCTCTCCACCACTCACATACCCTCCAGCAAGAGCCACCGCCACTGCCCGCCCCCTTTTCTATTTTTATCGTTTCAGGACAGAATAGCGCGTCAACCAAAACAACCGGGTGACAAGTCGAACGAAAACGAAGGACCGTCGAAGGCGAGAAAGAAAGACACCCGCCGATCAGAAGCGATGCACTTCGTGTTAAGCAAACAAACGCGGTACGTTGTAATAAGGATGACCTCTCTGCCTCTGGAAAGTGTGTCTCGCACGGCTAGTGAGCAATGCACTCATATGCACAATAGGTATGCCCTGTGCAGTTGCCACAGCATATTCACATACGACAGCTACACAACAGGCTGTGAGACGCGGTGCGGCATACCCAGAATGATACGTCGTACTCTGTGCATAGACTTTGTATGCACGTAAAGTCCATCCAGTCAGTGGCCACAACATTAAGAAACGATCCAGGCTTGAGCCGATGTGCGTGTCATCGTATGCATAGATGCGGAGTATTTTGCTGTGTGTCTCTTTGTCCGTCCGTTCTGGCCGCGTGGCTGATGTGCTTCCCGTTCTGGATATGGACGCGAATCGTATTCCCGTATTTCATTTCTCTGCTGATCGGCGGACGACCCGGCGTTGCTTTGGAGGCTCTTTCCGTTGCGTGAGAGCCCCCTTCTCACGGCTCACTTTTGCTCAGCTTACGGTGCATATGGAGTAAGCTCTAGAAAATAAGATTTGACGGATGTGAGCACAGGCATCTTTGGATCCTGGCGGAGCCCTAACACGCACAATGAACAGGGCGCAAAGGAGAGACTAAATTGCAGAGTGAGAAAGCGATGGAAGCGATGGAGCCGCTTTCTCACGGAGGTTTCTGTGATACACAACCACGGTTAACTCTCACATACTTCGTTCATCGTACACAAGGTTTTCTGCAAGGCCTCCATGTCTCCAGTCATTGGATGTACTTACGATGTAGTATGCCCGTCGAGAAAGAGCGCCACAATTAGCGGTAAGACAGGTCCTGCGGGCAACAGTTTCAGGTGCACAGAGTATGGCGATGCGCGAGAGAATAAAAGACGACAGGGCACCATCTCATATTGTGCAACAGCGGGTGCCACTGGGCAATTACGTGTCCGCATGTACGGAGTATTACTGCGTATGCAGACATTTGGTCGAGAGCTGACTGGACGGGACAGTCTCGTCCAGTCTCCGTGCACTGTCATGGTGTGCTCGTCTTGGTGCTCCGTTCCCTGCGTACAACGTTGCCAAATGGTATTTACGGAGTACATGATCCTGGCTTTGGGACTTTTCGACACTTTTCTCTGGGCGTTCTACCGTTTTAATTGGTATGTCGACGGTTCTGGCGGGTTTCGTTTGTTTTAGCCTCCTGGAACTAAAGCAGGATTGAAACACGGTAAAATACCGTACTGTCAACGGCTCGACACTGTTCTCGTACCAGCGAACGACGGTCTCCACATTCATGCTTTTTCTTTTTGAAGCTGTGGTGGTTGGTGGTGCGATGTGGACCAGGGTGATCGGCAGGGTATTTCTTAGGGGCTGCGCAGCATGATTGGCAAGGCAAAACAGCGCAGAACGAGGGGACAAAACTGCCTGTCGGTCTCGATTTGGCCTGGACCTGTGCCTGGGGGCAAGGGCGTTGGTGGCGCTAGTGTTGCGCAACTGAAAGGAAATACGGATTAAGCACGTTACGTATCTGACCATCACTGGGGATTGATACAGGGTCCGCCGTCTCGAACATGTTTGTTTGACACGCTCATGATGATTAAAATTCGGGGACGGCGCGTACTGACAGGCGGCACGATCAGGCAAATACGGGCCAAAGGGGGCCAAATCGGGGGCTCCCTTAACGCAAACAGAGTTTTTCCAGAAGCAATACGAGGACTGCGAAACAGTACGCGAATGTGTACGAAACGACATTTCGACATAAGACTACTGGTACTAGCAACTAGCAAACGCCACTGTCAACTGGCGCCGAAGGAGTTACGTTCCGGTGACGGCAGAAGAACAAAACAGAAGCGAGAGCGCTCTGTTCCAACAGCGCGGCAGGGACGTTTGCTGGCGGGCCGCAACTCGTCATGATCGAAATTGATGCAGGTGGACTGGCGATTGGGAAGGCGAAAGACTCGGAGCCGACTGAACGTGCCGTTTCTTTTGCCTGCTTTTGCCTGCTTTGCGGCACAAATGGATGGGACGACGATTGAGCTTGGCTCAGGGACGAACGTTCGGCTGTGACGTCGTTTCGGCTCTGTAGGTGTGAAGCCTATATCGACGGCAACCAGATCTGGGAACAACCTGCTTTTCAATGCCTCATTTGTCTGCCGGATCTCGTCGTCCAGTACTTTCTCGTTTGGCCTTGAACCAAATCGTGGAGTCTGTTATACGTGGCCTGCACGCCATGGTCATTCCTTTGCTTGTAGCTTGCACTTGAAGGTCTCCATCTCCAGGTGGCCATCGTCCGTCTCACCACGCTCCTTCCCATAGCCTTCTCGTTTCCCGTCGTCCTTAATTTTCAAGCTTGCAATTCCTGTCGTCGTTCCTCTTTTGCTCGGGTACTTTTCCTTCCCGGTGGCTGTTGGGTTGGTTCGAGCATAACGCACCCTGGCACCCTGGCCGCTCGCAACATCGTACGCCGTATGGAGAAAATCCTGTTCTCTAAAAAAAGAGTTAACGAGCAGCCCCCGCGCCCCTTCCCTGGAAGCGCAGTGGCCCCACCCTTCTCCATCTGTATGCCAAAATGCAGGCTTGGCTAAGCCACATGCACCACTTTTCGCTGTTGTCCATAGGCTCTCACCTGTCTGACATTCCTTCCTCCTGGCCAGCCCGAAAAAATAATATGGAGACATAAGTAGCCGTGAGAAACTGTAGATACTTTTAGGAAAAGAGCTGTCCCCAAACCGCGCGCCCCAGGCCGGCCATTTTCAGCTTAGATGCCCTGTCTCCTATTTCCCTTGGTTGCTCTTTCCTCCCCAGTCGGCCTCCCTACTTTCCTTTAGATCGACGAGCTTCTTGCCATTTTCCCCGTTCCCGTTCGTGTTCCTGACTCTCCTTTTCTCTCTTCTTTACTTTTTCTTTTGCTCTCACCATATTTTTCGACCTTCCTTGCGATATCGTTTCTCCCCCTCAGACGACCATTTTTGCATTGTGCACGCACATCACGCACATCACGCGCATCGAAACGGTTGCTAGCCTGTACGCGGTCAACAAAAGGCTGCATCCGGACCAACGCCGCCCCCTTGTTTTGGTTCTCTTTGTTTAGGCTCGAACCTTTCATTTTATTTTATTTGACCTGCCTATTTTCTGCAATTTTGCTGCAGGCTTCGTGCTTTGTGCACGCTTTTATCTTGTTCTCCTTTTCCAATTTTTGGATTGTTTTGACTCTTGGGACTCCTGCCTTCTGGCGTCGACGCACCTCCCACAGTCCAACACAGCTCCGCCTCAGCCAGCGCAGCCGCACCTTGGTTTTCCGACAACCAACAAAAACCGGCCTTGCCCCCTGCCTCCCCTCCCTCGATTTTCATCACGTCCGTTTCGTGCTTCCGCCAAACCTTGTCCAAAACAAAGACGGAACTTCACCACTCACGCAGACGCCGATTTGCATCAGCTTTATTGCGAAGCGTTGTCGATTTTCGACCTCCTGCGAAATAAGGCCCTTCTAGCTAGCATCTTTTATATACGACTCTAGTCTGCATTCCAGCTGACCCCAGCGACCCCAACTGCATTCTCACTCGCAAACTTTCTCTACTCTTCACTCTCTTTCCTCATTTTTCCCACACGTAGCCTTTCTCTCCCCCGCCATGGCGTACCGTGGCCGCGAAGGAGGCGACTACGAGGGTAACGAGGGCCATCATCTGCAGGAGCTGCCTGCAGCCGGCCAGGTAAGTCGACTATACAAAGCAACAACGAAAGCCGCGGACGGGCGAAAGCAAGAGCCGCGACGCATGTTGTGGACGATAAGCTAACGTGAGTCTCCACCGCGTAAAAGTACCACATCCCTCCCGCCGACGACAATGAAGAGCTTCAGCACTCTCTTCTGAACCAGGGCTCCTCGCACTACGACCATGACCGCTTGGGTACCGGCGTGTCCAACGTCCGCCCCGAATCCACATACAGCCTGTCAGAGTCCTATGCCCCAGGCGCAGCTACAAATGTCCGTACCGGGCCTGGATTCCCGGCCGCCCCGTCACCTTTTCAGAATGACACCGGCATGTCCACCGGAGGTGCCTACCTTGGTGACCCGTATGGTGGCTTTGGCGGTGCGGGCCCCGGTCGGCCGCAGTCAACCGTCTCGATGGGCGGGGACATGGACGAGAGCTTCTACCGCCGCCAGCAGCAGGCATCAGGTGGTGGCCTGAAGCGCTACCCGACACGCAAGGTCAAGCTGGTGCAGGGCTCCGTTCTGAGCACCGAGTACCCCGTCCCCAGTGCTATTCGCAACTCGGTGCAGCAGCGCTACCTCGAGACGGAGGCCAACCACAACGAGTTTGTCAACATGCGTTACACGGCTGCCACCTGCGACCCGAACGACTTCACCCTGAAGAATGGTTACGATCTGCGCCCGCGCATGTACAACCGTCACACCGAGCTGCTCATCGCCATCACGTACTACAACGAAGACAAGGTGCTCCTGTCCCGTACCCTGCACGGTGTCATGCAGAACATCCGCGACATTGTGAACCTGAAGAAATCCACTTTCTGGAACAAGGGCGGGCCTGCTTGGCAGAAGATTGTCGTCTGTCTCGTTTTTGACGGTCTTGAGAAGGCCGACAAGAACGTGCTGGACGTCCTTGCCACCATTGGTGTGTACCAGGACGGTGTCATCAAGAAGGACGTTGACGGCCAGCCCACGGTCGCTCACGTTTTCGAGTATACGACGCAGCTGTCTGTCACGCCCGGCCAGCAGCTTATCCGCCCTGTCAATGACAGCCCGACGACTCTGCCGCCCGTCCAGTTCATCTTCTGCTTGAAGCAGCAGAACAGCAAGAAGATCAACTCGCATCGTTGGCTCTTCAACGCCTTTGGCCGCATCCTGAACCCCGAGGTCTGCATTCTGCTCGATGCCGGTACCAAGCCCAGCCCCAAGTCTCTGCTTGCGCTCTGGGAAGGTTTCTACAACGACAAGGACCTCGGTGGTGCTTGCGGTGAAATCCACGCCATGCTGGGCAAGGGCGGCCGCAAGCTGCTCAACCCGCTTGTTGCGGTCCAGAACTTCGAGTACAAGATCTCCAACATTCTCGACAAGCCGCTCGAGAGCGCCTTCGGTTACGTTAGTGTGTTGCCTGGTGCTTTCTCGGCCTACCGCTTCCGTGCCATCATGGGCCGTCCTCTGGACCAGTACTTCCACGGTGACCACACGCTGTCCGCCATTCTCGGCAAGAAGGGTATCGAGGGCATGAACATTTTCAAGAAGAACATGTTCTTGGCCGAGGATCGTATTCTCTGTTTCGAGCTGGTCGCCAAGGCAGGCCAGAAGTGGCATCTCTCCTACATCAAGGCCGCGAAGGGCGAGACGGATGTGCCCGAAGGTGCCGCCGAGTTCATCGGTCAGCGTCGTCGTTGGTTGAACGGTTCGTTTGCCGCCAGTTTGTACTCGCTGATGCATTTCGGTCGCATGTACAAGAGCGGCCACAACATCATCCGCATGATCTTCCTGCATCTGCAGCTGCTTTACAATGTCGCCAACGTCATATTTACCTGGTTCTCCCTCGCATCCTACTGGCTTACGACGTCCGTTATCATGGACCTCGTCGGCACGCCTGTCGTCGCTTCGGCCAAGTCATCTGAGCACCACGGTTGGCCTTTTGGTGACACGGCCACGCCCCTTATTAACTCGATCCTCAAGTACATCTACCTGGCCTTTGTCATTTTGCAGTTCATTCTAGCGCTGGGTAACCGGCCAAAGGGCTCCAAGTATACCTACGTTACGTCGTATCTTGTCTTCGGCTTTATCCAAGCCTACGTTCTGGTCCTGTCCGCTTTCCTCGTCGTCGAAGCCTTCAAGACGCCCGTCTCGGAACAGATCAAGACGGATAACGTCAACGATTTCTTGGGCAGTGTCTTTGGTGCCAACGCCGGTGCGGCCGGTGTGATTATCCTTTCTCTGTTCGCGATATATGGTCTCTACTTCATCTCCTCGTTCCTTTACCTCGACCCCTGGCACATGTTCCACTCGTTCCCTTTCTACCTGATTCTCATGTCGACCTACATCAACATTCTGATGGTCTACGCTTTCAACAACTGGCATGATGTTTCTTGGGGTACCAAGGGTTCGGACAAGCAGGAGGCTCTGCCTTCGGCGCAAGTCACCAAAGGCGAGAAGGATGAGGTGGTTGTCGAGGAGATTGTCAAGCCCCAGGAAGATATCGACAAGCAGTTCGAGGCCACAGTCAAGCGTGCTCTGGAGCCGTTCCACGAGGACGAGAAGCCTGAACCCAAGGATATCCAAGACTCGTACAAGTCTTTCCGTACGATGCTGGTCGTCCTGTGGCTGTTCTCCAACTGCCTGCTGGCTGTTATCATCACGAGCGACAACTTCAACGGCATTGGCATCGGTGTATGTTCCCCCCAGCTCCCCACCCGCTCTTGTTATTTGGTCTCGACTCTTACTAACATGTCTTCGCACAGCAAACGACCACCACCCGTACCGCCTACTTCTTCAAGTTTATCCTGTTCGCGACCTGTTTCCTTTCCATCTTCCGTTTCCTTGGGTTCCTTTGGTTCCTCGGCAAGACGGGTCTCATGTGCTGCATTTCCCGTCGGTAAGACGAAGACAAAGCGAGATGTCCGCGTCGGCCAATCGATATACAACCCATCTAAACCGAAACGTGGACTTTTTTACCAAGGCTCGCGCACATGAATGCTGGGGACGATAGACTGGAAAGAGAGTGGTCCTGGACAAGCAATTCCAGGCCATACAAAATGGTACACTGGCTGTCCCCGGTGGCCAGCATGCACCCGTTTTTTTGCTTTTCTTTTTCAAAGGGTTCCAAGAGAGCGTAAAAACGGCATGGGATCTATGGCGTTTCTATAATTTTGACACAAAGTTTTGTGTTCCATTTACTTGCTGCTTGTTTTGTCTACCTTTTTGGGTCTTTTTTCTATTATCCTTTTGTCCACTTTCCACAGTCTTCCGCTATATCTTGTTTGCTTTTGTTTTCGAATCTTGCCTGCTTTAATTTTGTTCCTTATATTTGATTGAGAAAGACCATTTCGAGCGATGCCATTATATCTGCCATCCTCCCCTTTTTAATTGAGAGATATCCACCCACTTTACACGGAATTGGTGAATTTTTCATTTTTAAAAATTTAATTCTTTCAAGAGTGTCGTCTTAAAGGCGTTTGCATTCATTGTTTTGGCTTGTCACCTTCCATTTTTCAAATTCGGGTTGTGATGCAAGTGGCAAGTGGCGAGATGGGTTGTGGTTAATTAGAATAGATGACTAATATTCTGGAAGAGAATGGCCTTTGCCTGCCCCCCAATCAAGGAGGTGTCGCTGGCTGACCGCAAGGCAGCATAAGCAGCAAACCCCACCAGTGGCATCTTGCGGCATCGTTTTGCCCACAACCCAAAAGCGAACTGATTCTAACTCCGTAATACCAACCTGCACTTTTTGCGATCGCGTTGTTTGGTCTCTTCGTTTTCTAAAAATTTCTAGCATTTTTCTTTCGCTGCACGGACAAGGCACACAGATCAACACTCTCGTTCTACTGCGGACACGATACGAACCAGCATCAGCGTCACTTGCTTTCCCCCCCAACGCGATTTCCATTTCCTCCTTATCGATTCTTCTTCTCGTCACGATTACCCCCTCGTTTGTCCGTTGTCAACAACCCCCACCGCCGTCTCAATCTCACACCGGGCCTTTCTTTTGTGCAGCTGGCGGTGCAACTTGCTTCGAGTGACTGGACGAGCTTCCGACGTGCCCGACATATCCGGTGTCCTCCCTCCGACCTGCATCCCCCCTCCTCCCCGCCGGCCCCTCAAACCTCACGCGCGCAGAGTTTTTGCGCACCCGACGGCTCACGATGTTGAAGATTTGGTCCATGGTAGGTTCCCAAGGTCTTGGGAAGCCGATGCCGGTAGGCAGAGGGTGTGCGTGCGTGCGTCTGATCGGCGAACTAACATGTTTTCTCCCCTGGCCATAGAAGAAGGAGCAGCAAAAGGCCGAGAATGCCGAAGGCGCTGCGGCGGGCGGCAAGAAGAAGAAGGTCACGGCCGCCCAGCTGCGGGTACAAAGGGACCTGTCGGAGCTCTCGCTGGGCTCGACCATGCGCATCGACTTCCCAGACCCGGACGACATTCTCAACTTTACTCTGGTCATTGAGCCCGACGAGGGCATGTACCGCGGCGGCCACTTCACCTTCAAGTTCCACATCAACGCCAACTTCCCGCACGACCCGCCCAAGGTCGAGTGCCAGCAAAAGATCTACCATCCCAACATTGACCTGGAGGGCAAGGTGTGCCTCAACATCCTGCGGGAGGACTGGAAGCCCGTGCTGAACCTGAACGCGGTCATTGTGGGCCTGCAGTTCCTGTTCCTCGAGCCCAACGCGTCCGATCCGCTCAACAAGGACGCGGCCGAGGACCTGCGCGCACATCGGGAAATGTTCCGGCGCAATGTGCGGGTGGCGATGACGGGTGGTTCGGTGCGCGGCGAGCCGTTTGACAAGGTGATGCTTCCTGGAAAATAGGAAACCAAAGTCGACACCAACATCAACAGCGCGGCACTGCGGCCTGGGCTGCGTATGCTGCCTACGGTGCCCACGCTGCCTACGCTGCCTACGCGGACGATCAATAGAGACGAGCAACTCGACGCTATTGTTTCTCCGCCCGTCTCTGCCTCTCTCTCTGCCTCAACACCCGCAGTCCATGCCTCTCTCACCCCTCGTCCCCGTCGCAGGCGTCGTCGCACCCCCCGTCGGGGCTGAATGGACATCTCCGGACTGGCCTGGGAAGCGCATCTATCCTCTGTTCCCTCCCCCCCTCTCTTTTACCCCTTTGCGGGGGACTGCGAGACCTTTACGTTCCACGGTCTCGACCAGAAGGTTTCTAGAATTGGAGCCGTGCCTTGCACCGTGCTCCACCCTGCCCTTATTTTTATGTTTATCTTGGGGTTTATGCTTATGATTGTTTGTGGGGAAGAGCTGGGGAAGCGCTGCCGACATGCCGGGAGACGGATGGCAATCAGATAAGACGGGCAAAATGAAGAGGAGATGACGACATTGGGCGCATCATGAGGAGTCTCGGGTCTGGGTTTAGTTGCATCATGCACGTTTGTTTTATTCTGCTCGTTCTTCTCTGAACGGTTGTTTCTGCTTTCGTCTTTCTTTTTGTCTTTTTATCATCGTGTCCTTTTATTTCACTACAGCATCATTTTCCAGATGAATCATCAACATATTCTAAGTCTTTCAGTTGTGCTGTCCGCAATTCTCTAGATGAACTATGACAAGTTTCTGCGTCATTCTTAACATGATTCGTATAATCACGACCCCAACCGAGTTTGTTACCGTTCTTGGATGCTCCATCCGCTATGTGTGTGTATAAACATCACGAGCAGGTTCTCTAGAGAGTGAGACATAGGCCAAGAGGCCGTAAGTTTGCCCAATACACAGTTCTGGAACATGAGCACGTGTGCTTTCAGCATCTGTCGGATTACAGCGATTGCAACTCGACAAGCCCCATTCAGGGACCTGCCATTATCGGTAAGTACCTTGAATTGCAACGGAGCTCTTGCCGGAGCCTGCCATGTGCGTTCTCGGCCGGGTGTGAGTCGCAATTGCTTCGTTTCTCCAGCTTGTTCTTCCCTTACCAAAGAAACCGTGCGATTTTGGCGCGTTCCTTGCCCCTGGCTCCTTCTCGTTGGTGCCATTTTTGCCTCTTTCCTCCGGATAAAGCATCTCCTCTTTCCTCTTCTCACGGTCCCAGGAGTCCAGAACCGTGCATGCGCACCTACTTTGGTAAGAGTCACCCAGTTTCTCCAACAAAATACACCGACTTCGGTGGCCGCCAGAGCAAGCGCAAAGTTGCCCCACTTGGAGTCGCGGGAGCATCTCTTCTTGTACTTTAGCTAGTAATTTTGGCGGGCAAGGCACAAGCTGTCCAATCCACTCAAGAGGGCCCAAAAGAAGGTCACTCGTAGGAGAGGGGCTCGACGGCCCCGACCAACGGCGCCCAGCAACGTTTTAGAGGCAAGAACCACACAAAAGGCTGCCCCTCCGGAGACGTGCAAGCTGCCGCGGACCAATAGCGTGCCGGGATTCGATAGCTTTTGCACATTTCGGATTTTTTTTGTCAATGGTTTCGTCTTTTTTGCAGCCCTTGTGCCAGACAATTGTCGACTTTGCCATAGTTTTTGTCTGCTACTGCTGCCGTCGTTAGATTTGCTCTCGTCCCGACTTGCTGTCACCCGGCTTTTTTGTCACTCCATCTTCTCCACAAAGAGATCCCTCACGCATTTTTGTGCTCGTTGGATTCCCTTCATATTGTGGTCATCCCCCCTCCTTCCGACTTTATTTTTCGTCCTTCCTTCCTTCCCTTTTCTCGTCTCTTTCCATTCACACTCATCACCAACGACCGTTATACCCATCTCCTCTCCCTTTTCTTTCTTCTCCCCCCCAATTCACATCACAATGGCTTCCCGTGGCTTCTCCCGGGCTCTGCGGAGCCCCCTGGCCCGCCAGATCGTGGCCCCCGCTCAGCGCCGCACCTTCGTCGCCGCTGCCGGCCTCGTCCGCGCGAAGGCTGCTGTCTCGGCCGTCATGCCCGCCAAGATTGCCCAGCAGCAGGTCCGTGGTGTCAAGACCATTGACTTTGCCGGCTCTGAGGAGCAGGTGTGGGGTGAGTGACACAATTCCAACTCACGAGCGACATTGGTGGTTCCTGGGCGACCAAAGGACCTTCGCAATGGCAGCTGGAGGGATCGGGAACTCAATTGAAGGCGAACGGCGTTGTGGCTAACCATTCTTCTTTTTTGTCGTACAGAGCGTGAGGACTGGCCCAAGGAGAAGCTCCTGGTACGTTTGCAGCCCTAACTAAGCCCTTTCGGGGCCTGGGAGCCCCCACGCAAAGCACCACAGCTCAACATTGCAGCAAACAACGCAATCAACATCCGCTAACCCGTATTTTTCTTCTCTCCAGGACTACTTCAAGGACGACACCTTTGCTCTGATCGGCTACGGCTCGCAGGGCCACGGCCAGGGCCTGAACCTCCGCGACAACGGCGTCAACGTCATCATCGGCGTGCGCAAGGATGGCAAGTCCTGGAAGGACGCCGTCCAGGACGGCTGGGTCCCGGGCAAGAACCTGTTCGAGGTCGACGAGGCCATCTCGCGCGGCAGCATCATCATGAACTTGCTGTCGGACGCCGCGCAGTCCGAGACGTGGCCCCACATCAAGCCCCAGCTGACCAAGGGCAAGACGCTGTACTTCTCGCACGGCTTCTCCCCCGTCTTCAAGGACCTGACCAAGGTCGACGTCCCCAAGGACATTGATGTCATCCTGGTCGCCCCCAAGGGCTCTGGCCGCACCGTGCGCTCGCTGTTCCGCGAGGGCCGCGGTATCAACTCGTCGTTTGCCGTCTACCAGGATGTGACCGGCAAGGCCGAGGAGAAGGCCCAGGCCATTGGCGTCGCCATTGGCTCGGGTTACCTGTACAAGACCACCTTTGAGAAGGAGGTCTACTCGGACCTGTACGGTGAGCGCGGCTGCCTGATGGGCGGCATCCACGGCATGTTCCTGGCCCAGTACGAGGTGCTGCGCGAGCGCGGCCACAGCCCGTCGGAGGCCTTCAACGAGACCGTCGAGGAGGCCACCCAGAGCCTGTACCCCCTGATCGGCGCCAACGGCATGGACTGGATGTACGAGGCCTGCTCGACCACCGCCCGGCGCGGCGCCATTGACTGGTCGCCCCGTTTCAAGGACGCCCTGAAGCCCGTGTTCAACCAGCTGTACGACTCGGTGCGCGACGGCTCCGAGACCAAGCGCTCGCTCGAGTACAACAGCCAGAAGGACTACCGCGAGAAGTACGATGCGGAGATGGACGAGATCCGCAACCTGGAGATCTGGCGTGCCGGCAAGGCCGTCCGGTCGCTGCGCCCCGAGAACCAGAAGTAAGAAGTGTTTGCTTCTGGGGACTGTCACAAGTCGTAGTTGCGAGGCACGGTCTTGGATGAGCGAGTCCAAGGATTTTTTTTAATGTTTTCACCACCTGTTTAACGTCTTTATGTATCGGTTTTGAGCGGATGATGTTGGGTTTTAGGAATTGGGAAACATACCAAAAATGAAGAGACCAAAGAATGAAATCAAAAGCAACCTGTTTACAACCAAACGTTTACCGGCCGATCTTGGAAGGCAAAAGAGAGTAATTTGAAGTACGGAAGGGCTATTTGTAGTGTGCCTGTAGTCCGACAGTGAGAAGCCAATTGAAGTCCACCGAGTTAACTAGGCGATGATGCACTCTTGACTGCGAAGTACGTTGCCGTGCATCGCATTTGCTAGGATACTGTTCGCTTCGACCCTCAGTGTTGGATCACGCCCTTCGCCGCTATCGGCGATTGTGCTATTTGCCCCTCTTCTTGGATGATATAGCAAGTGGACTGGACCTTCTGGTAGACAAGCTGAACGCAGGACGCCAAACACAACGGCCAGCGAGTGAAATCACTCGAGAGAAAAGAGACCGAGTCCTCGCCGCGCCACGAGCTTCACGATCCGCTCGATCTCCACGATATCCTCCATCCCCCCCTCCTCGTCCGCCATGGCTGACCTGAGTACTTGCCCGCCACTGACGCGCGCGTCCGTCGTCGAGGCCCACAACCTCATCCGTCCCTTTGTCCACCGCACGCCCGTCTTGACCAACCGCACGATTGACGGCATCGTGTCGACGCCGCGCACCGCCGAGGAGCTGCAGGGCACGCCGTGGGAGGGCGCGACGCCGGCCCGCCCAACGCTGCGCATCTGGTTCAAGTGCGAGAACATGCAGCGCGTCGGCGCCTTCAAGGCCCGCGGCGCGTTCCATGCGGTCGAGCGGCTCAAGCGGGAGCCCGGGTGGGAGGCGGGCGGCGGGTTCGCCAAGGGCGTGGCGACGCACAGCTCGGGCAACCACGCCCAGGCGCTGGCGCTGGCGGCGCGCACGGCGGGGCTGCCGGCACACATTGTGATGCCCGCGATCTCGGCCGCGCCCAAGGTGGCGGCCACGCGGGGGTACGGGGCCCGTGTCGTGTTTAGCGGGTCCACGGCCGCCGAGCGCGAGGCCGTGGCGGCGGAGGTGATGGCCGCGACGGGCGCGCGGCTGGTGCCGCCGTACGACCACCCGGACATTATCCTGGGACAGGGCACGGCCGGGCTGGAGCTGCAGGAGCAGGTGGCGGCGGCGAAAGCGCAGACCGCGGCCGTGGGCTCGGGCGCAGGGCCCACGGCCCTGCTGTACGCGTCCGCCACGGCCCCGCAACGAACCACCGCCCCCGGCGGCGGCCTGGACGCCATCATGACCCCATGCGGCGGCGGCGGCCTGCTGGCGGGCACAGTGCTGTCGGCCCAGGGCACGGGCATCCGGGTGTTTGGCGCGGAGCCGTCGCTGGACGGCGCGGACGACTGTGCGCGGGGATTGGCGCAGGGGAAGCGGATCGAGACCGTCCAGTCGCTGACGATTGCCGACGGCCTGCGGACGCCGGTGGGCGTGCACAACTGGGCCGTGCTGACGGGCGACACGCCCGAGAGCCAGGGCCAGGGGGTGCACGGCGTGTACGCGGTGGGCGAGGACCAAATCCGGGCGGCGCTGCGGCTGCTGCTGGAGCGGCTCAAGATTGTTGTGGAGCCGAGCTCGGCGGTGCCGCTGGCGGTGGTGTTGTACAATGAAGAGTTCCGGCGGCGGGTCGAGACGGAGGCGGGCGCGGACGGCTGGGATCTGGGGATTGTGTTGAGCGGGGGCAATGTCAGTCTTGAGGGCTTTGCCAAGTTGTTTCCCGAGGCGTAATGTGGTACATACTATGTACTTAGAAGACTAGGCGATGTGTATACGAACGAAAGAAATGAAATCAAAGACAACGTGGGCTCTCAATTTTGACTCGACGCTGATAAACAATGCTATGTGGATGTGTGGTATAAACAAACAAATAAAGGCACCCTCCTGTTTCTAATAAAGCCGAGTCTATGGAGGAATATGAAAAGGTATATACAAAGCAAGAGGTAGGAGGAGACACGGTCCGATATGGCTCCCGTCCAGTTCTAGGGCAACTTGTTGAGCTGCTCGTCCATGCTCTTGCGCCACTTGGAGCCGTTGCGGCGCAGCAAAAAGATGCAGGCGTTGCCAACGATCCAGGCCAGCAGGGCAATCATGGTGCAGAGCCAGCCGTAGCCCATGGCGCCGATGAGCGGCTGGGCGACAATGGCGCCGACGCACGAGAAGATGTTGCGCAAGAAGTTGTTGAGGGCGATGCCGCCGGAGCTGCGGCGCGGCATAAACTCGGTCAGCATGGTGGTGACGGCGCCAAAGACGAGCATGCTGCCGAAGCCAAAGACAAAGTTGGCAATCGAGGGGACGATCCAGTAGACGCCGTGCTGGGCGGTCCAGCCGAACCAGACGAGGGCGGCCGGGAACAGCGAGGCGGAGAGCCAGGCGTTTTCGCGCATGCGGTCCTCGGGCAGGAAGACGAGGCGGCCCTGCGCGTCGTAGCGGCCGGCTTTGCGGGCCTCGCGGGCCATGATGTTGTCGATCCAGCGGCCGCCGACGAGGGACGCGAGAATGTAGCCCAGGCTGCTGGGGATGTAGAGCAGGCCGACAATGAGCTCGCTGAACTGGTAGGGCGGCTTGGCGAAGGCGGACTGGATGCTGACGTTGAGCACAAAGAGCGAGCCAAAGGTCACGGAGCCGTAGACGACGGTCAAGAGGATGGGCGGAAAGCGGAGATACAGGAGGACGGAGAGCGGCTGCACAAAGGCCACCTTCAGGAAGGAACCTACGCGCTGCGTCTGCACCCGCACCGACTGGGTCGTGGTCATGCGGGCGAGAGCCGGGGCCACGGCCGCCCCCGACTCGGCGGCCTCGCCCTCCGCCATGCTTGTAGCCTGCCCCTCGACGTCCGCCTGTGTCTGTGTTTGTGTCTGTGGTGGCTTGTTCTTCTTCTCCTGCTTCTCCGTCTTCTCCGTCTTCTCAAGCTCGCGCGGCGGGCGCCGGTCACGCGCCAGCGTCTCGGGCAGACAGAAGAAGAGCATCACAAAGGCCAGGCCACCATAGATTGTGAGGAACCACATGGTGCTCTCCCACCCCCACTTCTCGGCCAGGGCACCGCCGATGATGGGCGCAAACAGCGGACCCGTCAGCGGGCCCAGGTAGAAGATGCCCATGGCGCGGCCGCGCTCGCGGGGCTCCCAGATGTCGGCGAGCGTGCCGGCGCCGACGGCCTGGACAGAGGCCGAGGCACCGCCGGCGAGGACGCGCATGACAATGAGCATGCCGATGCTCTTGCTGATGGCGCTGAGGATGGAGAAGACGACAAACAGGCAAAACGATATGATGTAGATGGTGCGGCGGCCCAGGGTCTCGGAAAAGGACGACCACCACAGCGGGAAGATGCCCATGGCCAGCATGTAGAGGGCCACGTTGAGGTTGGCCGTGGTCGGGGAGGTGTGCAGGTCGACGGTGAGCGAGGCGAGGGCCGGGTAGAGGATGGACGAGCCCAGCGGGCCGCCGGCGGCCGTCAGGGCGACAATCAGCGTGATGAGCCACTTGGTCTTGTTGCGGTACTCGTAGGGGCGCTCGACCTCGGGCAAAATGGCAAACTGGCCAAACAGGCCGCGGCGCTTGGACCGGGGAATGATGGTGGGCGCGCGGGAGACGGTGCGGGCGAGCGACAGCGAGGCGGGCCGCTCGTTGGCCTGCTGCGACATTTGCACCTCGAGAGCCTGCAGACCGGCGCCTGGCTCGTTGGCCATGGGCGGGGTGTCGTCGTCGTCGTCTTCGTCGTCGTCGTCGGGATGCTCTCGGTGGGCGTCGCCAGGGTCGTTGCGGCGGCCAGTGTCCTCTGCGTCTCCGTCGGAAGAGCCGTCCGAGTCGTCGTGGCTGTCGTGGCTGTCGTGGCTGGTGTGCACGTCCTTGTTCTTTGCTGCATCGGACGGCATAAATGTTCGTGCTGCATCTCGTGATGTCGCCTTGTCGTCTGGTCGTGTGCTTTCACTCTTCTCGTCAACATTGTCCAAAACAGACCGCGGTGATGGCTCGCCGGCCTGTGTCGATCCCGCCAAGCCTGCTGTTGACGGTGGAGAGAGCTCAGAACTCGATCCAGTAGCTGATCCGGTAGCTGCACCAGTGCCGGCGCCGGGGTGCAGCCGGTCGGCGTGATCGTTGCCGCCGTTGGCCATGGTCTGCGGAGGTCTGCGCTTGTATCGTGGGCGGACAGCCAGTTATTGTGGTGATCGGGTGGCTTTGGGTTTCAGGGCATGTATAGATACATCAGATAAGGTCACAATTCTCGTACGGGCTCGCGAGACATGATGTGCAAAGTCGGCTTCTGGTGATGCAATTTGATTCGGGCAAAGGGGTAACAAAACAAAGACAGATTTGGCTGGTGGCTGCGTGTCTTTTCTCATACGACACAAGATAAAAGCGACGAGAAAACAAGAATCTCTAGATAGCAAAGAGATACCTGGGAATAACAAATCCCGAAAAGAAAAAAAAAACGAACAGCAAAGGATCGCAAAACTAGGGAACGCCTTGTCAATATGGGAGACTAGAGGCGACTACAAACTACAGGCGCCGATCGACGGCGATGGCAAAAAGACGAGCACCTTAGCCGAGTTTCAGTGGACAAGGACAGTTGCCAGCTATTGTCAGGGGCACCTTCCGGAGAGGGCATGCAGTTTTGTTGCAATGGTGACGGAAAGTGCCAACGACGGTGCCAAAGAAGCGAAAGCGCGAAAAAGGGAAGGAGGGAAGGACGGTGACAGGGTGAGTTCTCCTTCTGTATCAGGGAAGAGGTGAGATGGGGCGAGTGGGCTCATTTGAGCCGGAGCCGAGGTCGTTCTTTCCACAGCGAAATTTGTCTTTAGACATAGTCTTTACTGGCAAGGCAGGGGCGATTAAGGAAGGTGTTTTCTCTGTTCAAGGCGCCGAAGGCGACCTCTAGCCACTTGTAAGCCGGCGTTGCACTATCTCTCACAGGGCCTCTGTCGTTCTCTCATTGTCTCAAAGCAACACCCACCGATTGACAATGGAGCGCCATCGGATAATCGGCATGGCTCTCGTGCCGTCCGTGCAAAGGCCCCGCTCCGTTAGCGGTCGTCCTTTTGTACGATATACGACATACAACGTGCTTTTGGGGCCTTTAGCGGGCCCTCGCACTGATGGGGCATCTCCACAATGTCCCATTCTCCACGCCCTCGACAAAGTTTATCTATCCCCGGCTCGAGCGTCGCTCCATGCCGGGCAAAGAGACGGGGGAGAATAAACACTGCATTTATGATGGAAGCAAAGCTTGTTCTGGCGTCGTCTACATATGCACCAATCGATGTTGCGCCGACAGACCGCCACCTGACGCCCGTCACATTAGTTATTAGTTGCATCGGACCGTGCGCGGCAGCAACTTGCACACCGACAGCGGTTGATCCTCACGCGCCGTCATCCCGATGCCGGCTCTTACTCCTGTGTCTTGTTATGCTTGGCATCCGTCGTAGGCGTATTTGGCCGAGGCGGGTGCAGCCAAGCGATGATAGCAGACAAGAACCGGCCGGGCAGTTTGGTATCTGGTCGCATAAAATGCAGCATGGCTTACACCGTCACAGTTCGACGACTGGGAGATAGCAGGATATGTTGCACAGATATGTCGCACAGAGTATAAACAGCAATATGCGAACAGATGAGAGAAACGACGGAGTGCTTCCTACGCACTTTTGTATTGGCTGGCAGATGTGCCCTTGTAAATGTCTCATTGTGCGGGATAACGTCCAAATGCATGCTTTCGACGTCATTTTGCGCAGGTTCGCAATGCGAGGGTTGCATTTGATAGCATCCAAGAGCTGTACTTGGTATTATGAGGCAAAGCCGTACGTTTAAGGTTAATGTTCAGTATTGATGATAAAACTGGGTCTGTAGCTGTTATCAGCTGGTTCTCTTTCTAGAAGGAGCTCACCATGATTCCGCCGGCTGGTAATTCGTACACGGCAGGTCCGTCGCCGAAGAGTCAACGCGGTCTTACTTGACGGAGGCTGTCTGCGAAGGAAAGAGCGCCAGGATCGGTCTGTGTCTCCGATCCTGCGCCTTGTACCTCGATTTGTGGGGAGTGGCAATCCGAATGCGGCAGGCGGTCAGCGCCAATTTGCGGGTGCGCCACCTACAGCCACGTTCTTTCGTCCCAAGTTTTCTGCCGACTACGGCAGCTGTGACCGTCTAGCCTGCTACTACATTGACCTCAAAAGGCAATTGACGACAGTTGAGCTACATCTTCGGTCAATTGATATACACAATACTCAACCTCGTTGCTTCTCTGCTCTTTCTTGAGCTGCCTCTCTTTCCCCACCACACAAACAGACACAAACACGCACGCACGACAATGTCCCTCACAGACGCAGCGCCGGCCGAGGCCGCCCGCGCCGCCAAGGCCGCCTCCCACGTCCTGGCCACGCTCTCCGCCGACGAGCGCAACGATGCCCTGCTCGCCATGCACGACGCCCTGGCTGCGAACCGCGATGCCATCCTGGCTGCCAACGCCAAGGACCTGGCCCTTGCCCAGCGTGAGGCCGCCGAGGGCCGCCTCAACCCGTCCCTCGTCGCGCGCCTTGACCTCGGCCGCAAGGGCAAGTGGGAGGACATGCTGCAGGGCATTCTAGACGTCCGCGGCCTGCCCGACCCTGTCGGCCGCGTCACGCTGCGCACCCGCCTCGACGACGGCCTGACGCTCGAGCGCGTCACCTGCCCCATTGGCGTGCTGCTCGTCATTTTCGAGGCCCGCCCCGAGGTGCTGGCCAACATTGCCGCGCTGGCCGTCAAGTCGGGCAATGCGGCGCTGCTCAAGGGCGGCAAAGAGTCCACGCAGACCATGCTGGCCATGGCCACCGCCCTCGCCGCGGCGCTCCAGGGCAACTCGCACGTGCCCCCCGCCGCCGTCCAGCTGGTCACCCGCCGCGACGTTGTCCAGGAGCTGCTGGCCCTCGACCGCGACATTGACCTCGTGGTCCCCCGCGGCTCCAACGAGCTTGTGCGGTCCATCAAGGCCGGCACCCGCATCCCCGTGCTGGGCCACGCCGACGGCCTGTGCAGCATCTTTCTGGACGCGGGCGTCGTCGACGCCGCCCAGGCCGCGTCGCTGCTGCTCGACGCCAAGACGGGCTACACGGCCGCCTGCAACAGCGTCGAGACGCTGCTTGTGCACGAGGCGGCCCTCGCCGAGCCGGCGTTTGCCGCCGCCGCCCGCACACTGCTGGGCGCAGGCGTGACGCTGCGCTGCGACGCGGCCGCCAAGGCGGCCCTGCTGTCGGCACTGACACTCCCGACCGACGGCGAGGCGGCGCGGGCCCAGATTGTCGACGCCGTCGACGACGACTTTGACACCGAGTTCCTGTCGCTGGACCTGGCCGTCAAGGCCGTGCCCTCGCTCGACGCCGCCATTGCGCACATTAACGCGCACGGCTCGCACCACACAGACGCCATCCTGACGCCCTCGGAAGCCCATGCAGAGAAATTCATGGCGGCCGTGGACTCGGCCGGCGTCTACTGGAACGCGTCGACGCGGTTTGCCGACGGCATGCGCTACGGCTTCGGCACCGAGGTGGGCATCAGCACAAACAAGATCCACTCGCGAGGCCCCGTCGGTCTGGAAGGCCTGACCATCTACAAGTACAAGCTGCGCGGGTCCGGGCAGGCGCCCAACCAATACGGCGACGGCGAGAAGCAGTACAAACACGAGTCGCTGTCGTTGAATGAGTAGGGGTCGGCGAGACAAAAGGAGAGCGATTCATGTGAAGCAAAAGGAAAAAGCACTGTAAAAAAATACCAGAAACAATAAAAGCCAAAAAAATGGAAAGCGATATACCCAAAATCAAATTAGCGGCATTATTTGGCATTTTTGCTCTTCGCAGCAGCTGGACAACGGAAATGGGAAAAGTGGAAATTGAACGTTTTTTTGAATTTTACCAACGTGCCATTGACCTAGTAATTATACAAACAGAGGAGGGAGAGACGGAAAAGAGTTTTTCGCTTTTGTCGTCTTCCAAACCCTGAGGTGAGTTGGGATGAAGCAGTTTCCTTTCATGTCTCGGGGGATAAACCGGTGCCCGTTCTATCCCCCAGAACATGCATCTCTTTTCTTGTTACTTTTTCAGCATAACGTCGTGTCATCATATATATAGCAAGGAAGAAGGGTGAGGTGGTTTAAACGACACAAAAGAGAAGAGAAGAGGAGAGAGTCAGAAGAAAATGAAAGTAGAAACGAGAACCCAACTGTCCAAAAACCCAAAATAGAACCAAGAAAACCCGGGGAAATGGCAAGAAAGGACAAAAACGAAATGAGAACAAAAGGAGAGAGAGACAGAGACGGCAGCGCGGGGATTACTCCCGTCCGCGGTTGCCCATCTTCTCAATCGAACTCATCAGACCACTTCGCGTACCCAGACCGCTTGGAGGCCGCGGTAGGCTGCCCGCCGAACCACTCATTTTCCGATCATGCCCGATCCGACCAATCCGGCTCGGCACACCGCCCGTCGCCATGGTCGAGCTGCTGGGCGGCTTGAGGCCCGACACGCGACCGCCGGTACCGTGCATGCTCATGGGACGCGTGCGGGCGGGAGTCGTAGCAGTCGACGCGATGTTCGAGGCGGCGGCGCCGTCCATGGCCATGCTGTTGCGGTGGCCGGTGCTGCTCGGCGGTCGGCTGATACCCGACATGGATGTCCGGCTGGCAGGGGCGGGTGTCTTGGGCTTGCGAGGTGACATGGACTGGCCGTAGCCCGAGCTGGCGACGGTTGACTGCCGTCTGGCCGTAGCAGGCGTGGCCGCCGTCGCGGGCGCAGGTGGTGCGGCGGACGACGATGCAATAAAGCTCTGCTGCATGGACATCATCTCCTCGGCCAGGCTGACGAGCTCGCCCTTTTCGACGCGCTCCTGCTCCAGCAGCGTGCGCAGCTCGGCGTTGTCAGCCTTGACAGAGCGCAGGACGGCCTCGAGCTTGTTGACCTCGGCGCCCAACTCCTTGATCTGCGTCGCGTCGCGCGCCTCGCGCTCACGCCGCTCTTCCTCGGCGCGACGCTCCTCTTCGCCAGGCACCACCTTGGACAGCGTGGCGTCGCGGCCGATGCGCAGCTTGTCGTTCTCCTGCGCCAGCGCCTCGGCGACCGTCTCGAGCTCGTGCACCCGCTTCTCCCAGCGCGCCTCGTAGCTCTTCTTGAGCGCCGCCACCTTGGCCTCGTGCTTGGCCTTGTAGGCCACGTGCAGCTCACGCGCGACACGCTCGACTGCAATCTCCACCTCACGCTGCACGGTGCCCGAGCCACCAGACCCAGCCGCCGACGAAGTCGAGCCGCCAGGGCTGCCGGTCGCCCGCCCTGCGCGCATCGCTGCCATCTTGGTTTCGGCCTCCTGAGCCATCATCTCAGCGGCTTCGCGGCGCTTGTCGGACTCGTCGAGCTTGGCCTCGAGCTCGTCGCGGTCGCGGTGACCCATGACAATCTCGCCCTTGACTTTACGCAGCACCTCCTCCATCTCACGGCCGCGGCGCTCCCACTGGCCCTTCTCCTCGGACAGCAGGTCACGCGCGCCGCGCTCCTCGCGCAGCTGCTCCATACACTCGCCGACGCGCTTCTCGGCGTCGCCCACGGCAGTCTTGAGGGCCAGCACCTCGGCCTCCTTGCCACTAAGGGTCGCCTTGAGGCTGCTGATTTCAGACAAGAAGTTGGACTTGAGGCTCTCCAGTTCGCGTGGTGTGACGGTCGGGATGCTGCGCGGCGTTGGCATGGGCGGGATCTCAAAGTCGAGGAGGTTGACCAGGCTCTTCCGCTGCGGCGTCGCAGAAGTTGCGTTGGAATGGTCGGCGGCGCCCGTGCCGTTCGCAGTAAGCTGAGGACCGAAGCGTTCCTTGGAGGGCGACAGCTGTGCGTTATGTGCCATGCGGAGCTGCTCGGTAAAGTCCATCAGCAGGCTCGCCGTGTTTCCGGGCTCGTAGTGTCCGTTGCGGTTCGGGGCAGGACCGCCATGGTTGGCGGTGCCGTGACCAGTGCCGTTGGTGGTGCCGTTGGCGCGAGGTGTGCGCGCGACAGACGACGTTGGTCCACTGGGGCCAGACATGGACCCGGACCTTGACCGCGCCGCCGTGTGGTGGCCGAAACCGTTATGCGGAGGCGGCTTGCTGGGGCTGTTGCTTCCGTGGGTGCTGTTGCCACGGCCGAGACGGGCCATCATCGCCGCGTTGGGAACGGCCGAGAAGGTGCTGAATGTGCTGGCCATGGTGTCGTCCATACCGGCCACACCACCCTCTTCAGGAGCCGGTGAGTTCCGCGGGCTGCTTGTGTTGGCAAGGCTGTCCCGCCGTCTCTGCGGTGGACTCTGCGGTGGGTGCGGTGTGCGCTGCTTTTGTGTGTTTCCATCCTCGCTGTACCCGCTTCCGTGGCTGCTACCAGCCGCATCGTTTTCAATGACGCTTGTCTCGTCTTCAAAGATCTCAATAGCTTGCTTGAGGCCTTCGTTCAGCTGGATAGCCTCGTCGAGACTCATCTGGCGGCCGTGCAGCGACTTCTGCTGCTTTTGGATGCTGGCAAACATGGCCTGGCCCGGCTGCGACGGCGACTCCGGCGCCGGCTGGCTCAGCTGCGAGGCGACGGGTTGCGGGGCATGTTGGGCTACCTGGGCTAGTTGGGCTAGTTGGGCTAGTTGGGCCGGCTGTTGCATGGGCGATCTGGGACCGACGGGCGAGGCAGTGCCCGACGACGCGACCGACCCGACCGACACGGCAGCCGAGGCCACAGGAGGCACGCTGATCTTAACAGGGAACCGCTTCTCGGGGCCAGTGAACTTGCGCGGCGTGCGGCCTAGGGGGAGTGCGGGAGGCAGCATCTGGTTGGAGGACGACGACATTCTACGCGAGGACGGCGGATAGGTCGGGGGCGGCGAAGAGGCGGCCGAGGAGGCTTGGTCGTCAGCAGTGTCACGACGGCTTTCGGCGCCACTGTCGGGCGAGGCAGGGCTGCCCATGGTTGCGGTGCTGGTGGCAGACGACGAGGGGGGCCCGACGGCGACGCGCCCCTGGAGAATCTTGAGGGGCGACAACTCGCTGCCCGACAGAATGCGCGAGCCGGGCCGGCCTTGCCGGCCTGACATTGTGGGCGGCGGTGCTGTGGATGTAATGACGGGCGGCGGGACGGGCTTCGTGTTGTTATTGTTGTTGTTGTTGTTGTTGTTGTTGTTGTTGTTGTTGTGCATGCTGTTGTGACTGGGGCTCGAGTTGGGGTTCGGGTGCGGCGACACGTTCTCCTGGCTGCTGCTGTTGTGCTGGCTGTTGTCGTGGTGTGCGGGCTCGGTGTGGATGACCGAGTTCATAAACGGCGAGCTGTTCGCCGACGTGTCCATGGTGGCCATGTCGAAGTCGACGTCGATGTTGTTGACAATGTCTTTGGTCGGGGACGGAAAGACAAAGGGAGGGAGCTGGTTGGTGGATGACGCGGTCGTGGCCTTGTCGGCGAGAATGTGTGTCGTCGTTACGGAGGAGACGTGGACGACGTCGTAATCGTCAAACGCGGGTGTTGGCTGGTTAGGAATGTTGACGTTGTTGAGCGTCGCGTGCTGGAGAGGCGACAATGGCGAGGCCATGAGAGATGGAGACTTGAGATGAAGATGCCCAAAGGATGTGGGGAGCAAAGCACAAACGGTCAATGGGTGTATCGCTTTTGTGTCTCTGTCTCTCTGTGCGTGACTGGGTGTTTCGTGTTTCTTCGTTGTCCGCTTTCTTTGCGCCGTCGCCTAAAAGCAATAGGCACAATCGGATGGGAGGCGCAAACGGCCAATCGTGAAGAGATCCTCAACCAAAATCAAGAACTGAACACGCTGGACAGACAAACGAGGATGGGCAAGACGACAAGAGGACGGTGGGGAGGGAGAGGGCACGCAGAAAGAAAAATGGCTGCGCAGAATCAAGTCAATAGGAACAAAACGAAGGCAGCAAAGGATTGCGAGGGCGACAAAGACACAGAGTAGGGGCAAAAAAAAAAAAAAAGAGGTGTGTCGGAAAAAGCAACAAAAGCGGTGATGCGGTTGTAGGCGCATCGCATTAGGGACGGCGTGGCCTGGTCGCACCTGCCGTGGCCGCCCACAAGACAACGGCAATGGGAAGGAATGGGCACGAATCTGGCACGCTGTTATTACTCCAGGGTGAAGAGTGCCCACAACGCCCCATTAACCTGCCCGGGCTCAAATGGGAAACCGCAGACCGCGTTTCGTGCTAGTCCTAAAGAGGTAGGGTTGCTAGGGTAACAGTGGGTTTGACGTGTCACGTGATAGTACCAACTTGACGACCGTGACGGCTAGGCGGGTGCCCCCGTTTGACGCCAACTGTAGCGCTGTTTTTGGGGCCGCTGGCGCTGATAATCAGGGGCAAATAGGGGTAAATGGAGATGTGATGAGAGACAGGTCCTCCTGATTGAAGACGGTCAACGAACGTTCATCGACGTCGCAATCAATTGCCACAGCCACAGTCCTCTCAGTAATGCGACGTACGCCCCCTTCGCATAACAAATGATTGAAATTGCTGGGCAAGGCGAACAACAACGAGAACTGCCGCGGCTGATTCCTTGGTCGCCAAAGCCACCACACACAGGCCGCAATTTTAACTGCAATATTCCCAGATTCATGCGCGACGACGTCTTACACGGACGCGCACATCTCTATTGGAACAAAAATAGACGTAATAGACGTGTCGCAGGTGAGTACATGTACGGCTACCAAAATAAGCTTCGCGCCTCATCTCGTCGGCAGATGTGGGCACGGGCTCAATTGCCAGGTCAAGCCAGGGATAGCTCAGCACACCACCACGGCCTCATATGTCATTTGTTCGCAGAAGCTGAGGTTTCGCACCAGGCGAGCGAGACGTGTCGGAATGTGTTTGCACGCGTTGTATTGCATTATTCACTTGATCCTGTGTTCATCTTGGCGTTGAAGCTCGTCTGCGTCCACATGCCCAGCCTTGTCCTGTTTGACGTTGTCGTCCATAAGGCTATTCTGTGTACCGGGGTCTATGCAGAAGCAGACTTAACTGAATGGCCTAATGCACGGAGCGTCAAGTCGCGAGTGCAGCTTCAAGCCCCTATACTTGTGTATGTTCTCTTATTTTGTTTCGTCACGAAACGTCCCCGGTCATACTAAGTGCTATCCTGTGTACAGAATCTGTTCACAATTTCATCCGAAGATGCGGACGAAGTAAGCTTCATCTTACATTCCCTGCCGCGTGGGACAAGCATCGTATGTTATGTTAGTGCCAATGTTGTGTTGACGTCGCTGCACACATTCCGCTATGTCACGATCTATTAATCGCTCTCACACCCTGTACACATGCTTTGCTTTACGCCTGAGCTCTCTAGCAATGACAGGCAGCAAGTCACAATGAAATACATTATACGTCGTGCAGAGTCAAGGATAAAGATATAGTAATCACTTTTTTTGGTCTTAAAAATAGAAAGGTCGTTAGGGTCATTAAGAAACAGGAAAGGACACACAGTTAAGGAACAAGGACCGAGTCACCAGAACGTGACCTGTGGCACAGATGTATCGCAAAAAAAGGAGAAGGTAGGGTGGGAGCATAGAGAAGGGCAAAACACCCAGATAGGAACGGCAACAGAAACTGAGTGGGAGTTTGTAACTCAGAACCCAGACTAAAAAGGACTCTTTCCCATCCGCCTTCGTATTTGGCGGGAAAGACGGCTCGTGGGAAGAAATACATGACATGTGCACTGGATGAAGGGGAAACTTTGTGCTTTGTGTAGTGTGGATTTTGTCGTCTTTTTAGTTCGGTTCTTTGTTTGCAGTCCAGCTCAGACCGGCGTCTGCCGTTAATAAAAGCCTGGTTTACATCACAGGCTGGCAAACGTATTTGCGCGCGCTTGCAGTGCGTTTTCCATCTCTTCCTCCACGATATAAAAAAAAAAACGTTCTCCCGATATCTCCGTAAAACGTTGATCTGGCCACATAAAACGATACAGTCATAACGGGAAAAAAAGAGGCAAAACGGGTAAGAGTTCGAAAAGGGGAGACAGATAAAAAAATAAAGATGAACAAAAAAAGGAATAAAATCTTTAAAAATTAAATCCTTCCATGCGGGTTTGGGGCGTCAAGTCATCAGGCATTTACACCATTTCAGGCATTTTAAAGGCACAGAAAAAAAAGAAAAGAAAAAAAAGACGATGTGTCGAGGCTGGTCTCGAGATGCGTTCGTAACGAGGGTTGTCTTCTCGATTCGAGCGCTCCCGCAGACACAAACGAAAACAAAAGAAAACTAAAAGGAGAAAGGGAAAAATAGCAGGCTTGCTTTCGAAGGAGTGGTCGTTCAGTCTCGTAGCGAGATGATTCAATATGTCGTTGGTGTGGGTCCCGTGATATCGTATAAAAATGTTGGTCGAAAAAAATAGTCGTAAAAAATGCATGTCCATGATCGCTTTTCGTCCAGGGTTTCTCTTGGGGTCATTAATCACTTGAAAGCATTTTCCCGTTTTCGGTCCTTGGTAGAGTCCGAATATCCGGGATGAGAAAGTAAAGTAGAAAGAGAAAAGAAACAAAACCGAAAACAATTGAAAAGGTCGAGAAGAAAACGGCGTCGCAGTGTTGGTCGAAATCGAACAGAAAAGAGCAGGTTTGCAACCGAAAACAATGATAACAGATTATCTATGTCTCGGAGCACCTACGGGTGGCGCTGCGCGGTTGATGGCCGACGCATCGTACACGGCCGACGGCATCGACGAGTCGAGCAGCGTCTTACGGCGCTTCATGTCCAGGGAGGACCTTTCGTCATCGTCGTCGCGGCCACGTTTCATACCTGCTGACGTGCCGTTCAGAGTCGGGGTGGTGTAGCCGTTGGGCATGGTGCCGGGCAGGTCTGCCGGGCCGGCGTAGACATCCTGGGCTGAGGCGCCGTTCGCGTTTCCACGATCGCTCGTCACGACGTTGTACAGGTTGCTTGACGCCTGGGTGGCGGCAGACGTGGCGCCCGTGCGCGGCGGCGTGCTGTAGCCCTGCTGGGCGTAGTACGCCTGCGAGACGGCACTGCGTGGGGTCGACCGTCCGGAGGTGGCCTGGTGGTTGGCAGCAGCAGCCGCTGCGACATCGGTGGAGAGGTGCGTGTGCTCGCTCGGCAGAGTAGCCACTTGGGGTGCACCGTAGTTGTACTGAGCGCGGCTCGCATCGTACGTGTTGCTGTCGTGCGTGTACTCAGTTTCGTGCTCGTGCTCATGCTCGTCCTCGGGCACACCACTGTGGGACACACCGTCTCCGGCGTGGCCGTTGTGGGCGTGCTGCAGGAGGCCGTTCGCTTGCGACTTGTTGTCGACGACGGGCTCGTTGCCAGACGGGCCAGCAATCGACGAGCGGTTGTTCACCGGTGCAGGCATCTCGGTCTTGACGTAGCCACCCGCGGCAGCCGCGGCGGCGGCGGCAACGGCGTTGTGGCCGTAGACGTTGTTGCGGTCGTGGGGGCTGCTGTTGGGAGCGGCACCAAGGTAGGCCTGACTTTGCTGCTGCTGGTTGTGGTGCGGCGTGTGCTGCTGCGAAGGCGGCTGCTGAGTAGCCGGAGCCGGCGTCTGGTGGTGGTACATGGAGCGCGAGGCATCGTATGTCTGAGTTGTCGGGGGGTACTGCTGCATCGCTTGCAGGGGCGGGCCTGGAGGGGTGGTAGCGGGTGTGGCAGGCATGGAGCGGGCGTTGCTCAGGCTCGTGTCTATTGACATTGGGTTGGCAGCCTGGGCGCCATTGACGCCCTGCTGCGGCCACGAGAACGGCTCGGACGCGCTCATCCCACTGCCCATGACGCTTGACGCACTGGTCGGCGGCGTGGGGAAAGTGTGGGCGCGGTCGAGTGGCGGGCGGCCGGTGGGTGTCGTCATATTGGCATGAGACGGCAACGTCTGCTGCGGGCCAGGTAGGGCCATGGTCGAGTGGTGCTGCAGGGACGGCAGGCCAGGGGCTCCGGCCTGACCGTTGCGCATCTGGCCCTGCTCCTGTTTCCGGCGCTCGGCGGCGGCCATGACCTGGCTCGTACGGGTCTGGTTGGTGGGGTGGTACAGCAGAGCAGCAATGTTATGCACGAAGAGGGGAAACAGAAGCTCAGTGATCTTCTCCTTGTTGGCAAAGTCCAGCGCACGCTCAAAGGGGATCCTGTCGTTTGGTTAGATTCGAGCCAAAATGACGAAATCGCGAATAGTAGTGTCATAAATAAACGTACCACACGCCCTTCAAGTGCATCGGGCCAATTTTGACGACGTGGCGGACCTTTTCGCTCTTCAGAATACCGTCACGGCGACCGCGAGTCATACCAGCAACGTTCAGGAGCTTAGTGCCGTTGATCATGTGGTTGTCTTTCTTAGGGTTAGTGAAAGGCCTTATAATCAATATGTTTTTACCAGGACCAAGGAAGTCTCACCTTCTCTCCGGGCCACGCAGATGCCGCGAGCCTCAACCTGGAAGCAGAGGCTGCCCTCGTCTTCCCAGAGCGTAGCCGTGACACGGGGCTTCATGCCGGGCGGGGCAATCTGGCCGGTGTTGTCGAAACCCGAGTAGCTGTTCTGCATACCCTGTTGCGCGGCGACACCCGGAAGCGGGAGCACATGCGGGTTGGCCGTCATGGGGTTAGCCACGGGGGCGGCGGTCGGCGGTGATGTCAAGCCATTGGTATAGCCGTACTGGCCGTAGGGCGACGGATTCGGGTACTGGGCAGGGCCGGGCTGCAGCAGCGGCGGCTGCTGATGCGTGTACTGGGCAATGGCACTGGAGGTGACTGGTGGCGGTTGTGCCTGGCCACCCTGCAGATGCGGCTGCTGGTAGTACATTTCAGCGGTTCCTTGGTTCATGGCGGCGTGCTGGTATTGGTCGTACCCGTGAACGGACGACTGGACAATGGGCGTATGGAGGCCGCTGGACAGCAACGACGACGGCACCGAGGGAAGAACGGTGCTGGACGGTGGTGTCTTGGGGCCGTGCGAGGAGGCCACCGAGGTATATGGCGACTGGGAGTCGACGTTGGAGCTCGTAGACGACCCAATGGAGCCAACTCGGGGGGAAACGGTTCCCGACGAGTATGCCTGCTGGGAAGAGGGAGGAAATGGCAACGACGGCAGTCGCTCGTTCATGTACGAAGGGCGCTGAGCAACAGCGTGAGAGTCGTATGACGGAGCGTTAAAGGTGCCTCGAGTCGGCGCTTGCGAAATCGACGGGAGATCCAGCGTTGCTGTGCCTCTGGCGGTCGAGATCAGAAATCAACTCCGTGAAAGAGCTGACGGGATAGAAAACAAATGCGAGAAGGTGAACGCAGCAATGCAAGACAAGACGAAATATACAAAATCGCTCAAATGCAAGACCACAAAAACTCGCTGACGCTGATGTCCTATGACGAAGTAGGATTGCAAGAGCCAGTCCAATGGAGCGGCCAATCTCGGTAGAAACGGTCAGGGAAGAAGGCGCTCAGAATGTCGTCGTGCGTCGTGGTCTTCGTCGAAGAGCTGTCGTTTCGTTTCGTAACATGAAAATGCTGAAAGAAACGCAAAACAAAACCAAAAAAAATCCCCCAAAAAAAATGCAAAACTGCTTCTGAGACGAATAAGTCGTTCCGTTCCCGGATTGCTTTTCGAAAAAAAAAAATTGCACCTTGAGTAGAAGAAGGCTCGATTCCTTTTCTGATATGTCGGGGGAGAAGTTGATAAGCGGGGCGGATAGGGCCAAGACTTGTAAGTCTCTTAGACCGTACAGCTCAACTACTCTGTTGTCGAGGCTATATTAGAATCAAGATAACCAACGAGACAAAAAGCAGAGCAAATACAAATCGGTGGCGAGGTTGGTAGAGTGCTATCTGCAAGGGGAGAACAGGCAAGGGACGAGGTCGGGCGGGAATGCGAGGTAGATTCCGAGGCGGCGAGGGAGGTAGATGAATAGAGCATAACAGGTTGACCGGCCGGGTTGAAAGAATGAGAGACGAAGCAAGAAACAAATATGCGAGAGGAAAGAAGGGGAAGTAGTAAGACGGAATGTGAAAATCGCAAAATCGGACACCACAGAAGATCTAGACTAGGTGGCGGGGATGGGGTTGAAAAAAAAAGAGCAAGGTGACAAACACCTACCTTCTGGGTCTCAACTGGTAGTTGAGATATTTCGAGAAGACGAGTAGAAGAGGTCGGTGACGAGCGTTCGACGGGGGGAGGAAGGGTTACGAAGATGAGATCGTGAAACGAAAGAAGGAGAAAGAGAGAAGGAGGAGAAGGGAGAGAAGGATAGGAGGAGGAAAGGGAAAAGGGAAAAGGAAGAAACCCGAGGAAGGTATTGGTGGAGGGAGGAGGGGGGAGGGAGAAGAAAAAGAGAAGATGGATGGCTTTGCACAAAAAAGAGGACGGCGGCGAGAAGAGGAAGAGGGAGGCAGGTAAAAGAAAGTTTTAAGTGGAGGAGGAGTGGAGGAGGTGGAGGATTGGCCCTGGTCTGGTGTGGTTGAGGTCGTGGTAGCGGGCGACGGTGGTTGTAAAGTACGGGCGATCAGAGAGAGCAGACAAGAGACCATGGCCCCCGGTCTGCCGCCAAGTCTAGTAGTATATGGAGCAAGGGTATCGTTGCGTCGACCAAAGGGAAAACCGTGTGCTCCGTACAACAAACAGAAAAGGGTTCCGTACGAAGTCTCCGTACTTGTTGTCCAGATACACAACACAACCGTGGACGAGGCCAGCAGGCCCCGGTTGAGTCAGTGAGGGTGCTGCTTCCAAATTGAGCAGACGAGAACGATAACAGAACGATGATTACCAGGGCTTATGGCAAAGACTCTCGTTGTTAGGAGTTGGCCAAAGCCAGTGAATTGACAACAAGGGAAGGAGACCGCAAAAGATACGTTTATGGTGTCAAAGGAGGAGAGGCCGAGGAACGGGCAGCGCGCAAAGCTCGTGTGTGAACTCAGTATTGTTCCTCCCGTGTGTTGCTTGGTCCGCCACTGGATCCCACACACAGAGCGCTGTTTTTATGTGATTTTCGTAGTGTCTGAAAATTAGCGTATGTGTTCAAGAACCAACATGCAAAGCACTCTGGGATCCAAAAATAATACCTGCCAACTAAATTGTACTAATGTGCATTCTGTACCTCTCCACAGATGCATATTTTGTATCTTACTGTTCGGTATTCCTCGCTGTGTGATATGCAGACCGTGGTAAGGTCCTGAGCTTCCTGTGAATGCAGCATACGTTAGCAGCAGCGTTGTTTACAGTGAGCTGCTCTCTTCCGGTCCCAGCTAATCTCCGCTGTTTCCTTCAGGTTGTTCTGGTATTGGAAAGAAAGCGGGCGAGAAAAAAGCACGGGGCAGCGCTAGAGGCAGATCCAGGATGGACGTCCAGGTCTGGACGGTCCTTGGGCGGGCGGTGTTGTTCAATATGGAGGGCCAGGTGGAGGTGGACAAACGAGTAGACAGGCCCCTGGTGCTGAGGGGCAGGTGGAGGAGGGTTGGTGAACGAAGGAGGGAAGGTGGTCCCTCAACGGCCAGGCGCTGGAAGACACCAGCGGACAGAGGGCATCTACTTCTTACTACCCAGGACGGTGTTCGAACGGTGCCTTTTTTTTTTGGCAGTCTTGCGTGCGAAAATGTCTCTACCAGCGAGAGAGGTCGACAGGGATGCTGGGAAAGGGAGGCTGGGGAGTAGGAAGCAGACGGGTCAGTTTGTATCTGGTTAGTACTTTTCGATACTTAAATGTTGCACCACACGAAGAGTGGCGGGTGGGTACTCCGTACATGGGCGGGTGGGAGAGAAAGACAGACTGAGAGAGATCAATGAGAAACGACAGGAAAATGGGACATTTGAGAGGTGGACCAGGGTCTGTGGATGGGGAGCAAGGATGAGAACCTGTCCTTGCAGGGGGGAGGGGTGTTGGTAGGTTAGAGGGGGGCAGAAGGCGGGCCAGTGGGCAGCTGTGGGAGGCAGAGATAGAGACAAGGAGGGGGACGAGAGTGAACGAGGAGGTTGGGGCGATCTCTGGAACTAAGTTTCTCTGAGAGAGTGTGTGGGAAAGGAAAGTCGTGTGTGCGAGTATTCGTGTTCTATATCCTGTACGCCTCTGTATAACTCTGTGCTCCATGTCGTTTTTTTGGGCAGTTTCGGCGGCTTTTGGGCTGGCTCGCTGAGCTGCTCTTTGCGGAGCTCTTGTGAGTGGCAAGAGGACAGGCCTGGTCGTACCAACACCAAAAAGAAAAGCGACACGGAAGATAGAAGAAAACCACGCTCTGTGAACCATACTTGGATTTACTTCACCGAGCCTTGAGCCCTAAATCCCCAAGTTGCTCTCACAAGCAGAGGTCCGAAGCGAACGCCAGAGGAAGAGAGTCGGCAGGAAGAGAGGGGGTGCCTGAACTGGCTAGCCGGGTCGAGAAACGGCGAGAGCGGCGAGCGACGGCGTGACCAGCGTGGACTGGTTTTTGTGGGTTCCGTGTATTTTCCTTGTCCAAAATGCGCCGTTCCGAGTGTTAGACGGGCGAGAAGGGGGGGTGGGATGGTAAAGGCGAGGCGGAGGGGAGTGAGATGGGTGGATGCTTGGAGAATGGACGAAAAGAGACGAAAAAAGACGAGAGAACGAGGAATAGGACAAGATGGGAAGAAGGGAAGAAACAGGAAGAAAAGGAGAGACCAAAAGTGAAGCCGAGATGAGATTTACAACTACAAAATACCCAAGTCAACTCAGGGGTAAGAGGAGCCTGGTCGCTCCTGCCTCTTCTACGGCAGCCTCACGGCGGTGGCATCTTGACGATGCTCGGTCGTCCTTTCCATGTTCGACGCCCGAATGCCGACGGACGACCATTCGCACCTGCCGCTTTTTACCGGTGCTATTTTGTGATTACGCTGCCAGCACGCGGTTCCTTCGTCGTAAAATAGCAGTCACCTGAGGGAGCTGCGACGTATATCTTCATCTGACGCGTTTGTGTCAGGACGATAGCTAATCCAAGATGCCAACCAGATCCTGGCTTGGCTTAACCACCCACGACGGTTCAACTGCCTTCCCAGCTGCACCTCGGGCATGCCTAATGCAGTGCGTATTTGCGCGCACTAAAAAGCCACACCGGGTTCTCTGTTTAGCATTGAATAGTCCACCACCCGGTTGGTACACATGCATTACTAGACCTCAGAAACCGGGGTGCTTTGAGCTACTCAAAAAAGGGAATGGCAAGCCCAGTGTGAGCCAGGCCGCCCGTACTGGTCCTTTCTCTTGCGCCGTATTTCATGTGCAGCGACGTACGGGTGGATCTGGCGGCGCCATCACGCCAGCACGCCAGCACATCGGCACAATCAGCCTCTTTGTGAAGCAATGGCTGTCTTTTATTATATTTATTTATACATTTATCTATTTTTTCTTTCAGACGTGACGGCGGAAGGATTAGGCAATATACGGCAAGGTGTGGCCTGTGAAGCGGCAATGACGAGCGATTGCAGCAGGTGACCTCGAAGCTGGGAGGTTGTCAACAGAATTGACCAAGCCTTCCCGTCCCGATCACCGAGGCCGCTGGGATGTTGGCATCATGCTCAGTACGCTTTGATTTTCGAGCTGACTAAATAGAAAGCACGAACCTGAGACCAACAGTTTACAACTAAAAAGCTAATACCTGGCAGCTAACAGCTACCAACTACCAGCTAAGACAGACGACAAAGAGACGACATCAGGAACAGCCGCCAACCTTGCGAGTCCTCACTACGGGAAGGCCCTTCTTTTCGGGGGGCGACTTTGACAAAGGACAGAACGGTTGGTTGTGTGTCTTTTGTTTACGTCCCGGGCTGTCTACTTTAGCCAGCGTTTAAACCCGGCGTCAAAATCGCCTGGGCCCGGTGGCTGGGCCAGAGGCAAAAATGTCAGAAACAAAAGAGGAGGACCGGCAAGGTGAAAAACAGGCTGTGAGGAAAGGGAGAAGCGGCGACAAAATATGTCTCAATCGTCTGCATCGTCTCGACGAAATCATGTGCTCGAGGACAGTACTTGCTATACGTAACATTCCCGGTTCGATGCCGGCTGCTGTTTGCTTGTTGGCTATGGATTGCTGTCTACTTGTTTCCTACCGCCACGACTTGGGTTTGTTTTGTTTGTCGAGTGTGCTTTGTGCGTCGTCTCTTGGTCAGCTCTGACG